TGTTTATAAATAGAATTCACAATCACTGTAATAAAAAAATCAAACAAATGGAAAATAATATGATACTTGGTTTAAAAATAAAATTATTTAATCGTCTTGCTCTTTTTATTTGGATTATCTTCCATCCAGTGTTTTGTCTATCAAGAAATTAACGTTTAATGAACAAATCGTTGACTGAAATCACTTAAAAACAACATATAAAATTAGAAATCTATATAAAACATTCATTGGAGACTTGATCCCATAAAAGTAACTTGATTTCACAAGTCAATAACTCAATGTTTAAATTTTTCCGTTGTTGGTGCTTCCTCAGCATCTGAACATCAACATAAAAGTGCAACTATATCCGGCTGACGAGTCCCAAATAGAACAAAACATACATCTTAGACTCCATTACTAATCAAATATTTTTATAATGTAATTATTGGTTGAACCAAATAATAACTTTGATTTTCATTCATCGTTTGAATCATAGAAAATATCATAAACGTCAAACATACAGATAGACATAAACATATAGTTCTTAGTTTACTTTGATTGTTTCAACTTATATTAATAATCGTAACTATCGATTCAATTGAATTAATGACTAACCTATTTATTTAATTATTTTTCCAGTTAAGTTTTATATTAGAGATTTTATCCATTATAATTATCTAACAAACAAAGTTCCAGTTAATTTTAACGTTATATTTGTTTGTATTTGATGTAAAAATGTCAATGAGTAAAATCTGTATTAGACATTAGTAACACACTTAAAATGAATCTAGTTAATTAATTAATAATTGTTTTGAATACTTATGATCAACCTAGATAGTAAAATATGAATCAATGTAATATTTGTCTACTGATTGAGTAGAGCTAAAGCTCTTATCTAAAAAAGTATTTCATTATTTATATATTTCTATTGTAGATTATCCATCTTAGATTTTATTTCTTCTTGTCCGATTGCATTCGGCAGCCCAGGTCATATATATACATAACAATAAACAATGTATATTGATAATATAAACACAAGGTAAGTCAATTTTTTTCCAAATCTTGACTGGAAATAACAGACTAAAAATGGCTGTGTTATACTCTATTGAAAGTTCGACAATTTCCTGGTTATCATTCACATCTTTGTTCATAGGTGTTTTAGTGTGCCCAAATAAAGGTACATGGAAAAACTAACATATTAGTATGGAGTTTTGAAGATTGTTGAGTTGATCATGAATCAATCACTATTGAAAATCTGGAAGCACTGGATGACCGTTTTGTCCTAGTATGGGACTACTTGGTATTGGTTGAAATTAGACATTAACTCCTTCTCAGTGGTCCAATGGTTAAGCGTTCGTGAGAGAGACCAAAAGACTTGGGTTTGAATCGTGTGTGAGGGGTTGTGGATGTGATCTGCTGAGGAGCCCCATACTAGAACGAAACAATCGTCTACTGCTTCCAGGTTTTTAATGATTCTTTAGCTTAGACTGACTTGTGGTTTCAATTGTGAAGATACTAAAATCCTCATAAATCCCCATTATTCGGAATAAGTCGATTTCAGTAGGAATGATTCAAGCATTTAGGCTTATGAAAGTTAAATATATATTAACTGCATATTGATACAATTTATTCGCTCTTATTGAATATGTTTGGTGTTCAACAATTAGATCGTAGTTTGAGATCTCTGTTTTTCATGCATTAACCTGTGGTGCTGGGTAGCACCAATAGTGTTCGTATAAAAACGTCTTAGACGGAGCTGTACGATCTACCATCGTCCATTTATGAAACATTCCACAAAACATAGTCCCGGAAACATTAGTCTTCTTGTTTTATAACTTTTAATAAACGTTTCTCATGGTGAAAATGAATCTAATATTATAACCAAATCTTATTGTAAATGTGTCAATATATTTCTCACTATCAAAGAAGTTCCTTCTCAGTACTATTACTTAGTTTCACACTTGCTTATTATGTAAAATAGATACTTTTTCCTTCATTTTATAAGTTTATTAACACTATGGTTTCGCCTTAATATTACATGTACTTGGATAAATCTTCTTGCTTAATTATCTAAGTAAATTAATTCCTTCATATTGGCAACAGTAAACTGAAAAGCCTTTAGAATTTATGACAAATTTCATATCCACTGAACAATTTATTAGCTGTCGCAACTCCGCAGCCCAATGAATTTAAAATAATGACTACTTAATCTGAACCTTGATGTTAACACTATCACTTGAATGCAGTTGATGAGTCAAAGTCAGAATGAAATGCGTATCCTGAATCCCACTGCTAGCGAATGATAATCCGAATTTGTTTACTGACATAATCTAATGATTAATGTATTAAGAAAAGCTGATATGGTTTCTATTTCTTTTTTTCCTATTAAATATCTTGAACTTTCTTCTCTTCATAATTAATAAATTTAACCGATTTAGTAAATTCTAGAACTTTAGTTAGTTTCCAGTTTTTCTACTTTATTTGAATATTTCTTACCATTTATTGCATTTGCTTTCGTGATACAAATAAGAAATAATAAATTTACCAATATTTCTTGAGTCAACTCAAAGCACCTAGTGACCTACATCTATAAATTAAAAAAACTAGTTTTGATTTAGCTGAAGAAAAAGAAAGAAAAGAAAACTGAAACATCACTTTTCCGAAATATATTTTAATTAGTCCAACTATATTGTAGTGAACATAACACGGGTGGGGACAATCGAATGTATTTGACACAGACTTATAGGATTTGTTAATAAAATCTAACAATCATAAAGTAAATGCTTCATTTGCAAATCTCCATTAATTGTCCCAAAATGACTCAGACTTCATTGTTCTTGCATTTTCATACAAATTGCACTTTGTTTCCATTCTTTACTGTTCAATCCTCTTGTCTCTTTGCTACCAGACCTTCTGTTCATGACTAACATCATATACTACTTATGTCAATATAAGTAGCACACACAACAATATATGTTGGTTAGAATAATAAAAAGTAGTTATTAAAACCATGACGGCGTCTATAGTGATCAAGATGAAAAGTAGGTTTATTTTGGATTTACATGTTGGCGATCAGTAGAACTTAAATAATATATAAATATTCAATAATATCATGGTTGGTTTATTAATGTTTCAGAATGCACAAAATCTTCCTACAAACAGAAACGAATCAATTTTCTGTGAATAACAATAAACCCATGAAGAAAAGAACTTTCGTCGATAACTATAGTATTAGACAAGAACTTGAATGATTGATTGAGTGGATAATATTAGGATGCCGGAATGAACGTAGTGTTTTTTGCGTCTTGTAAGTTACTTTTACTAAAAGATAGTGAATAAATTTATATATAAGGTGATGCAAGGCTCTTGCGACCAACCATAAATAAGAAATGAGAAGTGTTCAGAATTCGGTCAATTTATTGTGGAAGAAATGGTTTAAACAGTATCGTTCAGTTGTCCAGAAAAAGTCAGGATATATTCAATGTCCGAACCCGAAGAAATCGATAGCTGATGACAGTTGTCATAAGTGCTGACCCAGAACGCTGAATAGTCCTACGAGAAACTAATGAGTTAGCAGATAAGCATAATATTGGAGTCAAAGACCTTATTGACAGCGTTGATACACCTAGGCGTCAATTGCTGAATATTAAAGTCGAAAAGATAACCAATCGACTCGACTGACTCATTAGGATTGTAAAGTTGGGGATAGGAAATAAAAGATCAGCCTTCTTGTTCTAAATTTGCTGCAAAGTAGGATAATTCGACAGTGATGATTAAGGACAACGGACTTTGTGGACGCTTCGGACGGAGTAATAATCATGACCCATAAGGAGAAATCAACTGATAATATTTCAGTTATACTTTCGACAACTGGAATCAGTCAGATCACAGACTGGCAATTTGTTTTTCAATTACCGGTCATGAAACATTAATTTTTTGTAAGCATGACTTTGTTTGCACTAACTCATTAGTTGTGTTCCTTAATTGCTATGTCCAGTGTTTGTATGAGTCATTTTTTCTGATAGGCTACAGTGGTTCATGTTTTCACACTAATTGTATTATTTTATATTTTGGAAACAGGTAAAGTTTGATCAACGAAGTAGTTTATTTGTTCTGTTCGTAGCTACGCAACAACTCTTTCAAACAGGCATCATTAACATACAGCGTGACACCGATATCATATTTCCCGAGCTGTCTTACCGCACAAGCACTATGAAATGAATTGCACAATAGACCCTGTGCTAAACATATTCATTTTTGATTTGTATACTTGTAACTGTTATACCTTGTTTATCACAATCAACAGTATTTGTGTTCGTTAGAAGTGATCGACTTTATTAACGGTAACAGGTTACGGTTTTCGAAACTCCCTCTCAAAGTGAGTCATCAGTTAAGGCACGGTTACTGCTTAGAAAGTTGATTTATGGAAATTTTTTGACTTTTGTTAGATGTACTGATAATATCTTGAAACCATTATAAAATAATGAGTAACTCATTACTTCGTAGTGTGCCATCACTTCGTAGTTCAAACAATTACTGTCTTTTAAAAAATATTAACACACTAGCTTTAATAGTAAAAGTGTTTCATTTGAAGGAAACCAATGAAATTTGATATTAATCATTTTTAATTGAGATCATGAATCGACCAACGTTATACCACCATTGAAAACCTGTAATGATTGGACGGCTGGTTGGTCCTAGTATGTGACTCCTCAGCAGTGTGCATTCACGATTTCGCACATGAGATTCAAACCCAAGTCCTTTGATCTCTCGTGAGAACGCCTAACCTCTAGACCACTGAGTCAGCATGCAACAGCGTTAATGTTTCATTTTAATCAATTCATGATCTTGTGCAACCTTTTATCCATTTTTTTAGGTGGATAACTGTCATGCACCCAACAAGGATTGAAGTTCACTGGTCACAGCTTCTCACTACAACTCCAAGAGGTGCATCTTGAAGCTATTGAGTAGATGGTTTTTATTACTACGAGGACTATATCCTATACATTCGATATTAGTAAATTATGCATTCTCAGTAAGATCTATCAGGATATCAAAACGAACAATAAATGCAATTTAATTTTATACCCGTTAGGAAAATACTAATGATATACTGAATAACTTTCCAACTCCAAATTGATTAAGTGAGAATTATAACTTAAGGGCCTTTATAATTAATCTAAATATTACATTCACAAACTAACTAAAATGAATATATACACAAACGAATAAAATTATACGTCATATCAAAGTGAGTTTCTTGTAATTTATTTTTACAAACTTTAGTTATAATAATAATAATAAATTCAGAAGAATTATACCGGGTTGCCAATGTATACAAAATGAAGATGAACGCATTGTAAAAGGAAGGATAGGTCTTCTTTTTTTTTATAAAAAAATGTTTAATTAAATTAAAAACAATTCTGAGTGATACACAGTTTAGATAGATTAGTTACTTTTCTGTTTAGCTGTCTATATTTCTCTTTCCCCCTCCTTTTTTCTTTCGTTCTCTCTCTCTCTCTCGATAAGAAACACATAAATAACTCTTAATTAAATGTAGAATTAAGAATCATCTTATATAAAAGAGTATACATTATTAAAGAGGTATATTCAATTCAAAGAAGGAATAACCGATCCATTATAAACCATGATCATATCATGGAAATATTTGAAAGGAATTACAAACAAATTTATTGCCTTCAGAAATAGGGAGAAAAAAAAATCAATTTATTCATAAAGTATTCAAGAGGGCTCCCAAATATGACCAAATATATCAGGTAGACTATGAGGTTTATCCAAAATCCATGGTTCATCTGAAATAATTTACATACATATAAAATAGTAATAATGAGAAAATATTATTAATATAAAACTACAAAATTTGGATATGAGATGATTTATAATCTTATCTAACATCTTTTATGATACATTATTTTATATAAAAATTAAATTCTGCTTAAATATGTATGTTGAGATATTTAACAGTCATTAATAATTTTATAGTTGAATTCATGAGTCAATTGAAGCTAGAATACCATGGAAAAACCTGGGAGGCCGTTTCGTCCTAGTATGGGACTTCTCAGAAGTGTGTATCTAAGATCCCACATCAGAGATTCGAACCCAAGACCTATCGGTTTCGCGTACGAACACTTAACCTCTAGACCGCTGAGCCTGAATTCAGCGGTGTTAATGTCTAACTTCAGCTAATCCATGACTCGTGAAATGAACTATAAAATTACTAAAATCTCCACAAAACCCTTTCTGATAATACTCAATATTTTTCATAGATTACCATCCTATTATTGAACTATATCAGGATTGCAAGTACAAACGTATAGCTATGGTAACTTGAATTAAACAGTTATCATCTTATTGATAAATGTTTCTCGTATATTACACCATGGTTAATATTTAAGGCTGCAGTTTAACTAGACTTAGGATAGGTGTATCCTGAACAGATTCCTTAATATGGCCCATTTACTACAAGTCCTAGTATATTTAGAAACCAGCTACATTGAGCTGACGATTTCTAGATAAAACAAAACATGTGCTCACAATTCTACTGTTAGCCAACATTCGAATACAAAAATAGTTACCTTGGATAATAATGATTTGATCATCTATAAATAAAATGTTCGATCTTTAGAACGATTCAAGCTTTCATTTATCAACTAGTAGGCAAACTATTCAATATGGATACGATTAATAGTTTACGCACAAGTGCTTTCTTAATGACAGTTAACCAATGAAAACAATAGAAAACTTAATTATATCAGTTAACATCAAAATAAATGCTATTCTACTTTTACATGACCTGGGTGATGGTGATATTTTCCAAAAAGAAAAAATAAATGCTAAGAAAACATTACACTATTAAAATCATTCAGCCAAATAGCAAATCATTCCAATCACTAAACAAATTATTTAGTGGTGTAGATATATTCACGCTTTGTGTTCCCTTAGATCGGAAGTTCTTTATAAAACTTTTTTTTATCTATCTAATTTATATTTTCTTCTTGAGTTGTATCTTCAATGTCTAATTTCTCATATTACCACTAATACGGTTACTACCTCTAGTACTCTGGGATGTTTCCTGACAATTTAAATTTGTGTTAATGAGGTGTGAAAATTTGAGTTGATGCACACAGGTACAAGGTTTAACGTTGTGTATCTCTAACTACTTGAGTGAATGAACGAACGAAAATTTAGTACAAGAATATATTGAATGATTTATGGATAGTCTTGTATAGACTTAATAATTTTATGAATAATTTTGATCATGGCAGTGTTAAGAAAAGTTGATCAGTCTCCCCACAACAAAATTACCTAGTTAGTAGACATTATTTGCAAGAACTAGTATGTTATGAAGAAAAAACAAAGAAAATACAGTGTGAAAAATGAAATGAAAGTCGGACATGAAAGGCATTGGATGTTCATTATTTGCAATATATCACTTGTGACAACAAAAATGATGATATACATGTATAATTTCTTACCGTTTGATTGATATTTCACTGGAGGTAATTCATATGGAATAGGAAAGGGTAGTAATCCATCAGTTGATGATTGAGAATATTTTGCATTGTTTTTTAAAACTTCAAATGAATGGGCTGATTCCTGGTTTTAGAAAAATAATTAATTAAGGTTAAAGCTACAGTATACTGCCGAATAACTCAGAAATCTCGGCATACTTTAAACAATCACGAAACTGTAAGTGTAACTAATTCACAATTTCAAAAAAAAATGGGAGAATTTACTGAGAATATATTGATTTTACAACAGATAAAGACATTTTCTAAGCTGGTCATAAGTTCATAGTTCCTAAACTTTAGAGTGAGGATCGAAATCTAAAGTTAGCTTATATACAACAAAACTATTAACTTTAGCCTTAGCACTCTATCCATAACATCCTAGCACTACATGTAACATCCCCGACCGTTGATGCTACCTTGACGTGGTGGTCGGGCTTGCCTATCGTGATGAAGCAACCGAGCTATACTGGCTGGAACAACCGTTCCTCAAGGTCCTACCATGTCAGACAGGTCGGTTGAAGAGCGGTAAGACTAAAAGCAACAAACCCAAGGTCCGAAGGCGAAGTCGTACTGCTGACTGTACAGAGGTGTGACAGCAGTAAGGTGTTTCCTTCAGACAACCAGCATGACAGCGATGCTGCCTTCCCACAAGGAGGGGTGGGGTTAGAAAAGGTCGACCCTAAAAATGCACACCTCACCTTACCTCACGGATTTCCGTCTCCGGCGGTAAGGCCCTTTGAAGAACGGAGCTAACACGTCAAAAACCTTCCACGAAAAGGCCGTGCGCGACCGGCCTCAAGCAGTTGTCCCTTGGGCACTGCGGTCACGCTCTCAGGTCACTGAGACCACCTCTAATCCAATTTCCTTTTCAGGTACCTCCAGAAGAACCCTTCCACGGTGTGGGCAACCGGGAAGTGATAACCGCCCTCATACCTCTAACAGCACTCAAGACCACTGTATTCATAATCAACCTCCTCTTCAATTCCTATTATTCCTCCTACATCGACTTTCAACCTAAACTTCCTCTTCGGCTTCCTCCTCAAGTGTCACCATAGCCAACGATTCTAGTGCTCAAAACTCTGTCCCAGGTCTACTGAAACCTCGCTCCAAACTACACATTGGAGCCTTCAACGTACGCACCCTATGTCAAATCGGTCAGCAGGCTTCCTTGGCTAAAACCCTAGAGTCTCTTTCCATTGATGTATGCTGTGTCTCCGAAACACGCATACAGGATTCCAGTGTGGTCATTCACTTGACCTCACCTCGGCAAAACGGAGAGCCAACGAGATACACCCTCGTGTATCTGGTGACCCGATGGCCAGTTCTCGTGGACTGGCAGGTGTAGGCATAGCACTAAGCATGAGGGCGGAACAAGCACTGCTAGAGTGGATCCCCGTCAACAGTCGTCTATGTGCTGTTCGGCTAAACGGCTCCGTAAGAACTCGGAAGGATAGGGACACACGTCGTTGCCTTTTTGTCGTTTCTGCCTACGCTCCCACTGACTGCAGCTCAGATGAAGTGAAAGATGAATTTTACAGAAAGCTTCCTGAACTTCTTCAGAAAGCTAAACGCTCAGACATAGTACTCGTAGGGGTGACTTTAATGCTCAGATAGGTAGTTTAAACCAAACAGAAAGGCATTTAGGTGGATATTTTAGCATTCCGGCACAGCGAACAGATAATGGTGATCGTCTGCTGCAACTGTGCTCAGACAATCGTTTATTTTTAGCAAACACAAATTTTAAGCATAAGGAGAGACATCGTCTAACATGGCGACCCCCTACACCAAACCAACGATGGACTCAAATAGACCATATTGCCATCAGTCATCGTTGGAGAGGGTCGGTAGAAGATTGTCGCTCATTCTGGAGTACCTGCTTGGACTCCGACCATGCCCTAATACGGGCACGCATCTGCTTGCGCCTCACTGGACGCAAAAAAGCCACATTAAAAAGACCCATTAGAACTGAGTTGAGTAACGAGAAAACCAAAAGTAGGTTCCAGGAACAACTGAGGTCACACTTAGGTAGTTCTGAAGACGAGGCTGACCCAGATGTTGCTTGGAAAGACATACAAGCAGCTGTGGAAACAGCAGTGACATCTATTAGTGACTTAAACCACAGAGTTACAAAGAACCAGTGGATTTCTTCAAAGTCTATCACACTGATGGATTCTCGCAAACTCGTCCCATCAGGTTCCGAACATGATGAAGAGCGACAACAAATCAGATCTAGGTTAAGAAAAAGTCTAAGAAACGACCGTGAGCAGTGGTGGGCAACGAAAGCAAAAGAGATGGAAAAGGCGGCGACTATAGGGAACACAAGACAGCTTTACAGACTAATAAAAGAAACTGGAATTAATAAGTCAAGTGTAAGTGAGATTATTTCGGAAAAAGCGATACTCTCATCTGCTCCCAGTCCAGACGTTTAGAACGATGGGCGGAACATTTCAGAGAACAGTTCAGCTGGCCTTCAGCTACTCTACAACTACCCTCCATTCCCAGACAGTGTGAATGGAACATTGAAGTAGGTCCCCCAACTCTTGCTGAAGTTCAAAAGGCTATAGTTAATCTGAAACGAGGAAGGGCAGCTGGTCCAGATGGACTGGCTCCAGAGGTCTTTAAGGATGGTGGTCCAATTTTAGCGATTAGGTTGACTAATATTTTAGCTAAGATCTGGGAATTAGACGTTATCCCATCTGACTGGTCACAATCACTTATCGTCCCAATATATAAGAAAGGGTCAAAATCATCCTGTGACAACCACAGAGGGATTAGTTTAACTAATATAATATCTAAAATACTAGCCTCGATAATTATCAGACGCCTAACTAAGACTCGTGAACTGCAAACACGAGAGAACCAAGCTGGCTTTAGACCTGGTCGTGGCTGCATCGACCACATATTCACCATTCGTCAGGTTCTAGAACACAGGCATACTTATCGGCGTCCGACAATGGTGGTCTTTCTTGACTTAAAAGCAGCATTTGACTCTGTAGACCGCGAGATTCTGTGGCAGTGTCTGTCATTGAAAGGCGTACCTCAGAAGTACATAAACCTTGTGAAGGCTCTTTACTCGAACACTACTAGTCGAGTCAGGGCTTTTGCAACCTCAAGTGGTGTCCGTCAAGGCTGTCCACTTTCCCATTTTTGTTTAACTTCATCATAGATCTACTGATGGAAATAACATTTTCGTCGACTGAATTCTCGGGTATTGATCTCCTTCCAGGAGGTCCACTTATCGACTTAGAATACGCAGATGACATAGTCCTGTTTGGTGAAGACGCTGACAAAATGCAGAGTCTTCTGGTAGCACTAAGCAACAATGCCAGAATGTTTGGAATGCGCTTCTCTCCCTCTAAATGCAAGTTGTTGCTTCAGGACTGGTCTGCGTCAACACCTGAACTAAGGATAGGGAGTGAAGTAGTCGAACGCGTTGACAACTTCACTTATCTTGGAAGTCTGATCAGCCCTAATGGGTTGGTGTCTGACGAAATCTCAGCACGGATTCGAAAAGCTCGTTTGGCTTTTGCCAACTTACGTCACCTTGGCGAAGGCGAGATATCCGTCTATCAATAAAAGGACGAGTATACTGCGCGGCAGTCCGTTCTGTTTTACTTTACGGCAGCGAAACATGGCCTTTAAGAGTAGAAGACACTCGTAAGCTACTAGTATTTGACCACAGATGCCTTAGAAATATTGCTGGCATCTGCTGGGATCACCGGGTAAGTAATAGTGAGGTTAGACGCAGGGTATTAGGGAATGATGGTAAATCAGTTGATGAGGTTATGAATCTTCATCGACTGAGATGGTTGGGCCACGTGTTACGTATGCCTGAACACCGATTACCACGACGTGCAATGCTAACCGGTGTAGGGGATGGTTGGAAGAAAGTTAGGGGCGGCCAAACCAAAACGTGGCATCAGTGCTTGAAGTCACTAACTTCTAGTCTGAGCCATGTTGGTAGATGCAGACTACTTGGTTGGGGTCCGCGTGACTATCGTAACCAATGGTTGGAGACTCTTGGTGACATGGCTCAGAATCGATCACAATGGCGTCGGTGTATACACTCTGTCTTCCCTTAAACTAAGAGATTAAAATCACTTCATATCTTTCTTTCTACGAACCAATTCTTTCTTGTATTATATCTCTATATGCAATCTTTCTCTTATATATTACCACCTTTGACCTAACCACTGCTATGAATCCGGTGTTCATCTTGTTGTGCTGATGTGGTATGGCAACCTGGACCGATGCACATATGTGCCTGGTCCTACGTTGTAGCTGACTGACTGACTGACATGTAACATCCTAAATAATATATACACATAAGAGTATCTCCTTGAAAATTTCCGCATTTTCATGAGCAACTAATAACATTCTTTTTATTCGAAATCATCATATTGAGATTCACTATCCAATTCATATTTCTCTATTATTAGCTAAATGACACGCTTGAATGCTTGGTGTCGTAACCATGAAGTGATTTACTTATTCTTGATTGGTTCAGCAGTATTCTTTATGTTTACCAAAGTAAGTAAATCAATTGACAAGTAATGGATAATAATGAATTCATAGTCGTTCGTCTGGTTGCACACAAATACAAAAAACATACGTTGTAATGTGATTATAGCAAAAAACGTTTTACTAGAATAAACACTCTAGATATTAAAGATGAACCTTGATGTCAGGTGAAATTCAAATGAAATTCAGTAGGCATACGCTAGTTATGTCCATGAAGTTTGAGTTACTTCAATAATGAGTAAGTAATATTCCACACAAGATACCACCCAGGACAACAAATTATCTCAACAAGCACAACACTTCAGCTAGTGTTATCTCGGTATGATCAACCACCTTGGAGATAAATCACTATATTCACAAAGTTCCCTGACTTGATATGAAATTTGTTCACTCTGAAAAAAAACATTTCACTCACAAATAGAATTAAACAACAACGAAGAAAGACAATAATATTTATATCTTATTTTAACAGATATCAGTATCAACTACCTGTAACTCCCTAATCTCTCTAAATTGAATCGGTAATGTTGTAATGTTGGTATAATAATTAGAATGATAAAATTAAGAGATTATAATGTTAAATATGTTAGATGATAGCTAGACTAACAGAAACGACCTTCACATTTTCGATATTGATATAATGTAATAAATATGGTGCCCATTAGTAAATATGCGTAGAACAATAAATTAATACCTTTCAATAAAAGTACTGTGATGTGTGTTATTTATTTTTGCAGATATAAGTAGTATCCAAAACTAGTTGGAAGTGAAATGTCTGTGAACAGAAAGTTGAGAAGATTCAAATGAAGAATAAAGTGAAGGAAACTGATAGCAATTAAGATAACAACAGGAATGACGGAACAATGAATCTTGTAAGAGACAATTCAAAGATGTATAAATGATGTATGATTTTCACACTTAACTAAATCCCTATATGATTGTGCGTTAAACAAAAAATTGATCTTCCTCATCTGCGCGTTCGTTCACTACAGTACTACTACTTATCAGGAATATCATGGAACAAATGGGATACAAAACGATTCATCAATTATAATGATCGATAAACATTTTGAAACAGACAAAACAGAAAAGATTAAATCTTATAAAATCGGAATCATTGGATAGAATGATAGAAAAAATATAATTGAATGTCAAAAATTAAAATCAGATTATTAGATAACCGGGCAGAGTATGCTGAACATTATGATTGTACAGTAAATCATTGAACTTTTAATACAAATGAGTTAATTGATTTTTTTTTATTGAAAAGTAAAACATTATCGGTATTTTATCAATAAACTGACTTAATAAAATAAATCAGAATCTCTTTCAAATAACAAAATATTTCATGACAAGATCTCTTCTCTATACTTATTTTAATTCATATTTATGGGCAATTTTGTATTAGAAAGATTGATCAATTAACTTAAATGAATGCAAACTACCTTAAATAAATAGTTTCCACTTGTGAATTGTTTATTCAACTCACGTTTATCAGAACTTTTATTTTACAATATAAGAGTACATAAGAGAGAAGGCTATACCAGAGAAGTCCTACTCGCTGCCTTCTCGTGGCGGGGGTGTTGTTTAAGAAATTGACAGAACGAAAAGCGAATGTATGGTGCTTCAACCCGATCGGTGGATATGGAGCATTTATCTAGGGCAGTTGGAAAACCTTGATTCCAAACCAGCGGCGCACATAGGCTCCAGGATCATGAAGGGACAAATGGCGTATGAACCTGTTGTTGGTCACCGGCTACCATGGGACTGCATCTCCTAACGTCGCCCCACTGCTTTTTAGATTAAACCTCCAGGTTAAGGGCTTCGGGTTGAGCCCGGGAAGTATTCCAACCCCTACACAAATGACGAAGTATGGCCCATATATATTTGGTGCCTCCACGTATCAATGCTTATGTGTTTAAGTAAATAAATAAAAAACAAGGGCAAGCTAAATACAAGTGAATCATAAACATTTGCTTGATCCGATTAGAGCATGTAATTTAGTCAGCAACTATTATGGTTCGTGAAATTTTTTCAAAATTAAATTTCATTTTATTTCGGAATTTTTATTACGCCTCAGGAAAAACACAGTGTACAAAAGCTGAAACACTTCGATGAACAACACTTGTAAATAAAGTTTAAACACTGGATCTCAGTAACAACTACTTCAGACTTATTCAAAAGATCAACTTAACAATTTTCGGTTGGCACAGTAGCAAGAAGATGACCTATTTACTTTAAGAGGTACACTTCCCAACTTCTCAAGATTCACTGCTACAGAACACACACCCTTTAAACTTAATAATACATAGTTATTTTTCATTTTAGCAATGTACAATAATATCCTAACCGTAACCGAGAACAACTATGTAATTCTCGACAAAATACAATTCTGTCAAGTGAATACAAAACAGAAAAAATCTAAAGTTAAATTTGACATTCATGTTAGAATAAAAGCTCAAATCAAAACGTCATCTCATGTTATTTCCTGTTTATTTCCAGAAAACAATGAAAAACTTTAAGCAGATATGTAGATGCAATTGTAAACTATGTGTATATATGTAAACAAGATATTACAAATAAATAATAATTACTCGACAGTTTCATTCAACAGTATTTACCTTTCCGGTCCAAATTGAAAATGCTTATTATTCGGTTTATCAATTTCCCCCCCTCCTACGAATCACAAATGTTCACTCATAAAATCGTGTACCTCATAGCCTGAGAAAAACAAAAACGGGGAAAAAACACCAACCTTATAATTTGTTGGCAAAAACAGCACACCCAGTTCATATGAACGAATCATCAATTGAGTTTTTGATTTTTCATAGGCACCCCAAGCAGCTTTTGAAAGATTTGCACTATCAAATGTAAAGCGAAAAAAATTGAGCATCAAAAATTAAAATCGATTTGTTTAATTGATACATTTCAAAATGATACATCATGTTGAATTTAGATTAGTGAAGTCTACATTAGACAAAATGCTTTTTGTAGTCAAAAGTAAATAAAAAAAATATCATTTTTATTTAAAATAACGTCAATGGATTGAATGAAGAGAAGATTATTTTCAATTGGTTACACAGAATGGATTTACACCAATATACAGGTATTGCAATAAATAATACCGATTGATCAACTGTTGTACAACTAGGTAAGTGAATCATACGGTTAATCACTACTTACCACGACAGGTAATGTTTGCTGATACAGGAGTAGGTTGAAAGTAGGGTAGTGAACAGACAAACTAGGACATAGCATCAGTCCATAAAGTTATTGATTGTTGGTTATAGTTATGTTGGCAAATGCTGACTACATGTTTGGAGTCCATACAATAACCACGGCGAATGGTTAGAGACTTTGGGTGGGATTACTCATCCACGCTGGCACAGATGTATTAACTCTTTACCGCCCTTCGCAATATTGGATATCTTCGTATACAGTTTACCACTATGTATTTTCAAACTACATGGCCAATATAATCAAAGATGGATAGTGGCTAGCAGTGGAATGCCAATAACAGACTGATCAATTGCAATCTTAAACCTCAATAAGATAAAAGCAAAACAATACCAAGTGAATTTAAAATTCACCCCATTTTACAAGCAAGTGGCTATCAGGACTCAGTAGCTAAGTGGATAACGCTATGACGTTGGAAGCGAATGGCACTGGGTTCGAGTCCCAGAGTGAACATCAACTCTGAGATGCAGGTAAATCCAGCTGACGAGTCCCAAACAGGACGAAACGCGCGTCCTGCATTCCACTGCTAGCCACTATCCATCTTTGCTTATCAAAGCTTGTGAATTAAGGCAATATCGAGACATAAGCACAGTATGCACATATGCCAATAACAGACTGATCAATTACAGTCCTAAACCTCAATGGGAAGATACAAGCAAAACAATACCAATTGAATTTACATGGCCAATGTTGTTACTACATGATTTGGATCCCGTCATCTACTCATACACTTTTCACCTCGTCGTGTTAATGTAATATCCAAACTTGGGCCAAAGTCCTTGTTTGCTAGGCTCTAAATTGATTGTGACTGACTGAGGTAAAGGTCACTTCTATTTGTCATATTTCTGAGCATGCAGCAGTGTGGGTTAGTAAAGATCAACGTAAGTTAATAATATCATCGATTGTACGACATTTATTAGATACAGAACAATTCGTCTGTGACTCAGACTTTGAGATCATTTATTTTAGGTTTGAAGCGGTTACGAGTTCACTTAGACTGCGAACGGAACAAAGACTTGTGACCAAAGACCAATAAACCGGCTATTCTATTGCGTCTCAGCCTCGCTAACTAGAGAGAAAAGTCAAAGTCCGAACGGGGAAGTATATTCCTCAAAAAGCCAGAAGCACAAGCGATAACAATAGAAAAAAATCAAAACGTATATATATAGCACAAAACCGTCCTTGGGAAGCGTTACAAAATAGCATAATAAAAGACACAACGGACCAATAGTGTTTAAGATTCTCATAAGTGGGAAATACGACATGAAGGTGAAAAGAGCGCTTTTGGAGTGAAAACAAAGAAATTCAAATTTTCTAAATAAAATTACAAAATTAGGTCCTTTTCCAAGTGAGTTCTGAGGATTTAACGTCCCCAACAACTAACAAAATTCAATTAAATATGTCACGAGATGAAGGCCTTAACCTACTTTATACTGCGGAAACTTTGGATGTGCAAAATCTAAAACCCAAGTTGAGCAGACAAAAACAATTTTTTATATTTCTCTCTTTACGATAGCCTCAGCTTGTAATTTCAATTTATCTATGTAACTGTTCTCTTCTTTATTTATTTTGTCCCTGCTAAGTTTGTAAAAAGAAAATTTTAATTTATTTTTTCTCTCTTTTATTATCAATAAAAAAGTTGTATCTACTCAGATTACTTAGTTACTATTTATACATTTCTTTCATTTCAACTTGACGATACTCATAGTAACAGATATTTGTTTATTCAAAATTATGTTGTCAAATTTCACAAAACAACTAATCAAATTCTAAAACAAAAAAATTTTATTTGTTGACATATACTTTATCACAACAGTTGAGATCATGAGTCAATTAAAGCTAGAATACCATGGAAAACCTGAAAGCACTGGACGGCCGTTTCGTCCTATCGTGGGACTCCTCAGCAGCGCGCATCCACGATCCCGCGGGATTCGAACCCAGGACCTATCAGTCTCGCGCCAGGCGCTTAACCAACTAGACCACTGAAACGATCGGCATCCAACAGTGTTAATGTCTAACTCCAACTAATCCACGAAATTGAGCGACACATCCACCACTGTCATTAGTGAATTACTATCTCACAACTGACCCGGCTGAACTACACTGGTCACTGCTTCTCACTAGATCTCCATGATATACCTCTTGGAGCCAGTCACTAGTGAGCATATGTTGATTAGTGTCAGGAGGGGTTTTGTGGAGACCATGGACCGCTATGGTGGTCTAGCTTCAAACGATTCATGATCTCAACTGTTTAAATTACTACAATCTCCACAAAACCCCTTCTGATGTAATTTATCGTATAAGTATACGATTATATGACTTTGATAATAAACTTATTGTGAAAGATTCTTCGATTGAATACATTGTTTTATAAAATAAATAATATTTTCATTGTTTAAATTATATGAATTGATTTTCGTTAGATCATAGTTAAAACCTGGAAACAATGGACGGTCATGTTGTCTTAGTATGGAACTTCACAACAGTGAGCAGTACGAGTAAATCTAAAAGTATTCATAAAAATAATATTGTAATAAAAAGAGTGATTCAGTAAATTTAAGAGAATAGAATATTAAAGTTTATCGATGAAATAAATTAGAACAGATTATCAATAGGTGACGTATTAACTAATAAAAATAGAACTGTACAATTCAAAACAATTTATAAAGTTTAATGAGACTAGAGAAGATGAAAAGTGACAATTAAGCGTAGAGAGTCACTTTTATATCTCTTGACTACTTTTGTATAAATCATTTGATAAGGTAAATAATCAGAATAAAGATAACATGCGGAAATAGTTTGAATGCAAAAGCTATAATTTTTTATACAATTCCCTTTATGTTCAAGGTTGAAAGTTCTGATTGCCATTATATGTCTATTGATAAATCATAAAGGATTATGGTAGGAAATGTAAGAATCAACATTTTCTAGTTTGTATGCCTAGTTTACTTAGCATTACCTATTTACTAATACTCAATACCTAAATACAAATAGAACTCTGAAATTAGTTTTTTTATTATCAAGTCATACTAATAATCACTGCCATAAAAAGCGAATATATTTTACAAGAAATTTGACAAAGATTACTCGATCAATTCATAATCGATGTCATATTCATTGACAACAAAATTTAAACTTTTTGATCCAGGTTTTGAGGATGTGTACCTATCTATTTAACAAAGTAAACAAGTTACAATGTAAAGACTAAACTATCATAATATTTTCAAAATAAATAGTGCAGATATGATTGTTTATCATATAGGATATTTAACAGTTGTCTTCTGTTAACTATTTTTTTTTGGAATGATTCTGCTACGAAAATACTACTGTAAATAGGTAGTAGAACAAAGAACAATAAAGAGACATGCGTATCAGGAGTAATATAATTATTCTATATGAAAATGAACATAATATATGGTTGATCGGTTATATTGTATGGACAGCACAATTGATATATATATATTTGTATACCTTAAACATTAATCTATTCTAATGAGTTGAAAATCATATTTCACTTAGAAAAAGAGCAGAATTATTTCCAAATCATAGTTTACGAATCAATCTCTTGAAGTAACTAAATGTTTTATGAGATATAGTAAAAACTTTAATTAAAGAAATTGTACGTTAACGTTAAGTCACTAATTTTCTTTAAATATTTGTAATAGATTGTATTCTAGAATTTGTTAGTGTGTTAGTGAGCGACTTCATCGCAGATGATATCTTTATCAAGAGATGTAACATTTGGAGGTAAAAAAAGTTAGACACCATTGGATTCCGGTTCAATGGTCTCGAAGTCAAGCGGTCGCGCGCGAGACCGAAGATCCTGAGTTCGGATGCCACGTGCAGGAACGTGAATGTACATTGTTGAGGAGTCCCATACTACGACAAAACAACTGTTCAGTGCTTTCAGGTTTTCAATGGTGGTTTAGCATTGATAGGTTCATGATTTCAATGAGATAAAGAAATATAGCCCACCGAATCGATAATCTAATTTCTTTAGATTTTTAAAAATACAAACACATTTATTACAAAAAACCTTGTGTTTAGTAGGTCAGATCATAGTGTTAAACTTTCAAACAATGAATTTATATTCATCAGTATGGGGTTGTGGAGATTGTTAAGTTTTTGGTTGAGATCATGAATCAATTGATGTTAGACCACCGTTGGAAACCTGGAAGCACTGGACGGCCGTTTCGTCCTAGTATGGGACTCCTCAGCAGTGCGCATCCACGATCCTGCATCCCGCGGGATTCGAACCCAGGACGTACTGGCTTCGCGCCTGAGCACTTAACCATTAAACCACTGAGCCGGCATCCAATGGTGTTAGTGTCTAATCCCGCGGGATGCGGGATCGTGAATGCGCACTGCTGAGGAGTCCCATACTAGGACGAAACGGCCGTCCAGTGCTTCCAGGTTTCCAACGGTGGTCTAACATCAATTGATTCATGATCTCAACCAAAAAAAAAGAATTTATATTCATTGAAATTACTTACCTAGTCAGAAGAAACCATCCTATCTGTTGACCATCTGGTGATATCCTAGTGTATGACTTAATGTGAGGAGCACATCGACTATGTTCAAAAGCATGCCAGCGATAAAAGAACTGACAAAGCCATGGTTGTTTTTCAGCTGTTCTCTTTGTATATGGTAAACATCCACCGGCAAAATAACCTTCCAAACTATTACGAACATCTTCAACACACGGATAAATCTGCAGTTGTATACCATAACAGGGAGAAATTAAATAGCGCATATCGTAGAAAGAAACAGAATTGTATATCTACTTTAAAATCTTGATTATTTTTGTGTATAAAAATTTACTGTTTAATAATATTTAAAAGCAATAATTACTTATGATCATTGAATTGTTCAAACAAATGACTGAAATTCAATTATAACCAGATAAGCATATGAGTTTAAGAAATATTCATTCCGACTTAGAAGCTGGTTAAATGACCCGTAAGTTACTGATATATAGAGTGACATGACCTTTAATCATTTAATGCTCAAATTGAAGACATGATCAAAAGAATCCAGACACTATCAAGAATTATGCAGGAGGAAACAGGAGGGCTCAAGATATGTGAATACATGCCACAGCCACAGAGTAAAACTGAGCTGGATGCATCTCAATATTTTCGCTAGCACCATAAGTGATGTATTAAGACAAAAACAAATGAACAATTGGTATCTGTGCTGACCATCGGGTTCGATATGTCAAGACCACTAGCTTGAAAATATCACCCTCTATTCCAAATCAGTTTTCCATACAAATCGGTAAAATAACATCCTATAACATTTGACAGGCCAAAAATGCATTCATATATATATCGCATAATATTTAGAATGACTCAAATGACTAGCGACTCATAGTCATTAGATTTCATTACAATTCCGAAATATTTTAGGCCGATGATTATCGTGGTTATACCGTATATATTAACCATAAGGTTCTTGAAGAAACATGATAAAAACGTTTATGCTGCAATTTTAAGAAAACAATCGACTAAGAGAGTAGAATCAAATCTTTAATACAAAAAGTATGCTAAAATAGTGATCATACTCACCATTCGTAAGCCTCTGGCACCTCTACCGGCTAAACTTGATGACCATTCAGTGGTAAACCAATCCGTAGGTTTAAGACCTAAAGAACCAATGCTTGAAAACTGGCCAATCACTGGCCAAGACGAAGGTATTTGACTATTACATGTGTGTAATACCTAGTGTGAAAGAAAAAAAGGTACCGAGACCACAGTGTTTATCAGTACAAAGAAATATTTATTGGTCACAGTTTTATGTTTGTTAGAACAACATAGAAATTGCTGATTACAAACTTATATGACGGTGCATAACATCATTTTATACTCATGAATTATTTAATATCGTTAGGGTAAGCAATTAAAGTTAGTGGATAGAAGAAAAAAACATGGTACTTAACTTTGAAACTATAGCGGCTGCATCGAATTCGAATACTTTAGTAAAAATACTAGTGATCAAACAGCACTGAAAAAACTACATTAGAACTATATAAAATGATCATGCTTTATAGAGGCAATGTATTGAACGATATGCAATGCCTAGTTAAATCATACTTATTATTGATGTAACAAGTGACAAGTAGGAATCGATAACTAATAAAAATATCTAATTCACTAAAAGGATTAATAAATATTCACTTCATACTTTCATATTTATACCAAACTCATTTCAAATATAGCGATCATACCTCTCCTAAACGTGTATGACCAAATTTGTTTAGTGACTCGCCAACATGTCTTCCAGAGACTGACGCAATTAATACAACCCTTTAAAAACAAAAAAAAAAAACACGCAGGAGATAAAACATTTAACATAACAAACTTTGATGGTACTATTTTCCCATGCAAACTACTGGTTACTACTATAATTCATTATATACTTTAATTATTTTGCTGGTTTAGGTTTTTAGAAACTTCTAAACTAGTTCATTTACCACAAACTGTAAAAACTATTCTCAGTTAAAGGAGTTATCAGTAAATTCAATGAGTGCAATGACTACTGTTGACAAAGATCTTATTTTTCGAATAATCCAGCAGAATTAGTTGAATAAACAATTTGTGGATAGACATTTTGAAAGTATACGGAAACTCAATTACGACTACTGAGTCAGACATTAGCAACGTAGAACCTGGTAACATGTCAATAAGAGAGTAGCTGATGAAAGCTTCTTAGAAACTAAATTACAGAGATACCATGTAGATTTAGATACACATCGAAAATTACCTGTCATAAATTATAATAACTGCAAGGAACACAAACTACAACCTAATTCTTCGTTTTATGATCTGTCATTTGTTCGTGATGAGACTTCACAAAATATGTTCCCTTATTTTAACGAATAAGAACTAACAGTGGATACAAACGGGAAAAAATATCAATCAAACAACGTAGCGTTAATCCAAATAATAATGATATACAGTATGAGAGAGCATAGAAACACGATTGATAGATCAGTCATTATGATATCCTTTGTAATAACAACTTCCTTTTCTCATAGCCCCGACTGTTCTAAAACATATTTGTACAAGAAACGTCTATCAGGTAGAGATTCCAAAAGATTTCATTTAGTTATATATCGATAAAATCAACTGATTGTCAGTTCGAAAAATTAGCAAATCAAATTAAAAATAACTGAGAATACAATAAAGTTCGTTGAGAATCAAAGGATAAAGCCCATATTGAATTAATAAGAAAATTAACTGAATGAAGATCAGGGTACATTAAGTACCTATTTTTCACAGTTCACTGTATGTTCAGTAATAAGAATTTTGAAGCATTTCCCTGTTCATTCAGTGAGTGAGTGCTGCATATAAAAGTGTAATTTCACTGAAGACTTCACTTTAAAACCTAACTTTCAATTTGCTTTTTTCATGTCATGTTAGGATGCACTACATTGGTGTACTCATAGCAGACAGATGTGGTTAACTTAAGATTCTTGAAGTGAAATCTCCAGCTAAAATTACATTCTTATAACAGCATTTACCCATTTAAAAAAATGGATAAATGCTCAAAGTGCTGGATACTATACATTTGTTCGACATTAGAAAACTTCACAATCACAATCCATACGTAACCTTTCACACAATTTTTATATTAAATTCAGGTCATAGATTTACATATCCAACATATTAGTACTCCTTCTAGAGGTGCTGTGATTCCCTTTTGATAAGGGATATAAACAATAGTTAATTTATAAATAAAGGACCAATGGTGTTAGCATGTTTGACATAATAACTGTGATCCATTTTAAGAAAACAACATCAAATTTCGGTTGCACAGTATAAAATAAATAAATATACATGAATCAGGCACGAAAAAGCAAATTTCACGAAACACATACTTTTTTATTAAACTACATGTTACCAAAACACTTACTTAATTGGTCGAAAATCATAACTGTGCAAACAATTAATCCATTCAAATAAGGGTGAACTGGTTGACTGGGTTAAATCTCTTCCATATGATTTTAAGTACTCAAGTAGATCTGCACGAAAATTAGTTCTTGAATCTGTATCATTCAAGTGCTTCAGTTGTTCCGTGCTTAATAACTTTAATTTCGGGCTAATCCAAATTCTCAAAAGTAAAAAAAAAATAAAAAAGTGAATTTCAAAATCACTATGGATATAACTTAAGCATCAGGATAGTAACACCAATAGTCAGATGGTGGTTGGAGGTAGTCAACAAGAAACCCTGGACCCGGGTTTCATGCTACTTAGCACTCGTCTTCAAGACGGCCTACTTGAGCATCTGGGCTACCTGTTCCTGCCATCTAGATATTTCAACAAGTTATCTATTTTTGTTTGTTTTAATATATCATTATGTCTATTAATCGCATACCCTATTCTGATGCGTTTCTGAAAAGTGTACAACCTTTCGTTGTCAAAGTTACAAAAGCTCAAAAAGAGAGAATGTGGTTGCTGGCAATATACAACGAAAAGCATGTACATTATTCAGATGTTCATTTACTGGACTGCTAACATCTAACTGGCGATCACTCAATATTTATTGCGAGGACCGACCAAGAAGAAAGAAACGGAAACTTGTTGAAATACTTTGTGCTGGGAATTCTATATTGCACCAAAAATATAATATTGAATAAAGCTAATAATAATAATAAGGTGTGCCTGTAATCTTGAGAGAACCGGTGCTCCATAGCGGACTCGACCTCGTGTCACCCAGCTTCACAGTCAGAGTCGTTACCACTGAGCTATCCGAGCCGTGACTAACCCCCCGTAGGACTGAGATGTAATCACAATTGATTGATCAGTGGGTGGCGATCAATGTCATGCTTGTCTAGTCATCTAATGTGTCAGTATTGCATATAAGTGTGTCATTTTCTGTGAACATGCTACCGTACTGCATTCCAACTTAGCGGACGAAAAAAACAGACTGCTGAAGATAAATTAGCTAATAATCATGATTCAACAACCTATAACAGATTGTATAGATCACTGAGAATAATTTTATTACATAAATGCCTTAAGTATAATCTAAAACATATTTACAGGAGTTTGCTATATAGCTAAAGGCTACATCCAATATCAAACCATTACCCATAATTTTTGTTGCCTAATAAATCACTTTCTACAATATTGTCTTACCCTTGAGTTCTTCGATCCCAATCATCTGATATCATATTCGCTGTATGAATGATAATTTTTAAACCATCTTTATATTTGAGCATCATCATTTTTCTAAAATTAAACAAGCAGAAGCTTTGAAGATAATGTTCACACTAATCATCTTGAAAAAGTGATTTCAACATGACCGGTACATGAAAAATTTACAGTATCAGAGCAACTCCCTGAGTGTGAGAAGCATTTTTTTCTCCATGACCAGAGTACAATAACATATCTCCTGAATCTAATCTTTGTGATTTCAATTGCATTCAATTGGTTTCACTTGTTCCGAGAACCGTCAAGTTGTATCTCCTCATTTTCGTCACTATTTCATTGGTACTCCAGGTCTCCCACATTGTCCGGACATTCCGTATACCTATATTAACTGTTGCTCTGGTTGTTAGACGGGGCACCGGCCTCGTGACTTCCGAATATTGGCTTTCATCATGAGGCATCATAAGTAATCTGAATAAAGATCCTTCAACTCGGAGAGCAGAGTTTAAATTGTTTAATTTGTCTATTCTGGTTAGAGTATATTTAGCAAGATTTTTTTCTACAGGATGAGGATGCTCAACCCTCCTCCTTTACCCAACCTTGGGATGGGCAGTAACCCTAGAATAGCTACAGACGGACAAATAGTACTTAAAGATCAACGCACATATGAATGAATGAAGTCAAGGAATAGTACTGCTTATTATCTCATGTATTAATATTTCTAAATTTGATGCTGTAAGATACCTGTTTGTCATATGTCGTGACCAGAAAATGCAGTCGATTAAAAATTCATATTCAATGACCCAGTCCTCATGAACCTGTATGATATTAATTTATACGTCAGTTGCTTATCAGTAAAATACGTCGATAATATATCTCTTATAATGTTGTGTATAACTACTCATCTGATGTATCGAGCTTGTATTCTTAAAAATACTGCTCCATTTTCACCATATTGCTTCATTTACTTATCACAAAATAAACACATTACATGTTACACATACTGTCATTATTTTAGAAATATATAGATTGAAGTCAATATTTTTGGTAACTACAGTGACGATTCATGCAAACTCTGTTAGGTATTATGTATAAGACTTAGATCGGTCGACTGCACACGTGTCAGACACACCATCAGATAACCAATCTCTACTACAACTGAAAATATGTGACCAGACCACCTCGTTGCAAATATGGTATCGCCACTTAATGCAAACAATGCTATGATAACAACAGTGAAGAAACACAGGAAACTGTACGCAATGAGGTATTTTTTATACGGCAGCTTGATGCCATGTTAGTGTCAAACGTGGACCACTTTCAATTAAACTTATTAATTTTGGTTATTTCAAGATCGATTTCGTCTCTAAGGATGCTATGATCAACAATACGCTATTTCAAATAGTTGAATATCAAAAGATGATGGCAGCTAATTTTAACACAGCTTTACTGATACCGAAAATAAGTTTTTGACAAACTATGCTTTACTTACTAATAGAACATTAACTTGAAAAAGATTTTATTCATTTAGTAATACAAAATTTTTAACTGAGACAACTGTTTGTTATAACCAACTTACGTATGATGTGTACCGTATGGCAAACGTATATGGGCCTTGAAAGAAAAAGGAATAAAAAAGACAACCATAAAAAACCAATTGTATATATGCATATCTAATATTTTACGAAATTATAGTGTTATTAGGAAGTAAAATTGAGCAAATCATATAATATTCAGGTAAATAAGATATAATAAAGGATGCACATCAAACGGTAACATGACCTAGTTGAAATTTATTCAATGTGAAGATACGTTTAACTGAAAACGAGGACCACAATGAGAAACTATAACAGGCTCTTAGATGAAGTCTATTCTAAAGTAAATCAGAAATTGTATCAAGTTTGACTTGCCAGACTTTTAGGGTACAATTTATGTGAGTATGAAATGTTAACAGATGATAATTTTGTGGTGATAATTTGACACAATTCTTTTCCCTTTTGAAGCATGAAGTCGTAAAATCATTGACTGTTCACTCTTTTCACCCAACTCCTATGTCATTAAACAGTGCTTAATATGTAACATGGTACAACGAAATGCATAAAGCGACCGCGAATCACAAAGTTCAGTGTTTCGATATGACATAATTATCTTCATACATGTATCAATTTGATGTATCACGATTCACATAAGCATGTGTAGATAAAATTTCAAAAAAAAACAGGAATATCATACTTAATAAACATCTAAACAAAAAAGTGAGTAAAATTGAGGGACTAAAAGTACACAACATCATTTTAAGTTTAACAGAACAGTGAAAAACAAATGTATAATTCCACAGTGATTCAACACTCTAAACTTGCTGAATCTTTACAATCTGATTATTGCCCTTATTCAAAAGTCATTGTTATCCTTTAAAATGATCGTGTAACAGGTTTTTGTTCGAGTTTCACTCGAGGGTTTCACACTGTTACGTCGGTAAATGTTGACCAAGTAAACAGAACAAAATAATTTAATAGAAATTGATGGAGTCGTGGGTTGGACACATACTGAAAAAGTGTTCCAGGAAATTTTGAAGATTATGCCACTGATTACATGCTTTTTTTTGCTTATGGGTACGATGACTTCTAACAGTTGTCTTAAATCTCAACAGAGCACTCAGATCATCAATTCATAGTCCTCGAATTTCAACAGGTTGTATTCAATGTTCCATTGCTAATTTGGAAATTTTATGAAAATATGACTACCGCAATGCCTTAAATAGGCTGGTGACTGTCAAAAACGTCTTATACTGACACTAAAAATGTGAAATGAACTTAGATATGTCCACAAAAAAGAAAACATTTTCATCTGATTTAATTCTCTTGTTCGATTCCACGATGAATTAATTTATGTAAATTATCATTACTTGAAAGGTACATTGTCAACTATTAATCAACCATTTTGTCCTAGTATGGAATTTCTGAGGAGTGTTCATCCACAACCCTATTGAAAATCGAACTCAGGACCTCCAAGTATCACAGCATCACCACGCCGTTAGTTGCGTCGTGTGCGCCTCTTATGTACTTACTTACGTCTGTTACCCGTCGTGGAGGAGCATAAGCCAACCACCAGCACTCTACATCCAACCCTGTTCTGGGCAATCCTATCTGGTTGCTATCGCGTATTGCTACCTGTATTCTTAAACATGTCTCAAATTTGGAAAGTTGTACATTTTTAGATTTTCTCACCTTTTTCCTTCCCTTTTTGTTGTAAAGGAAACTTGTTTAAATACCTTGTGTTGAGAGTTCTATATTGTACCAAAATATAAGGCCAGAATAAGGCCATTAATAATAATGATAATAATCCATCCTTTTCATTTCTGCTTACAATTCTCGACGCAGTGTGTCCTTTGGCCTTCCTCTTTTGCGTTTACCTTCAGGATTTGTGATCCAGCCTGGTGATTTTCTCAATGTATGTCTTATCCACTAACTCCATCGTCTTTTCCTCATTATCTCCTCAGATAGATGGTTTGTTCTCTCCCACAGTTAGCTGTTGCTGATGGTTTCCGGTCAACGGACATTGAGTATTCTGCGTGGACAACTGTTTATAAATACCTGTACCTTTTTCATGATGGTTGTGGTAGTTCTCCATGTTTCAGCTCCGTATAGTAGAACTAATCGTGTTGAAGATCCTCACTTTGATATTGGTTGACAGTTGTTTTGAGTCCCATGTGTTCTTTACTTGTGCGAATGCGACCCTAGATTTGCCGATCCTCGCCTTTACGTCTGCATCCGATCCACCTTGTCCATAGATGATGCTGTATTGTATTTGAAAACCTTGCTTTTTACTTTGTGTGTACTAAGGTCTACTGATGCAGAGACCACTGGTGCTACATTGTTTGTCTGAACCTGCGTTTGTTGATGTGTATGGGATAGAAGGCCAAGTCATCTGCGAAGTCTAAATCCCTCAATTGATTCCGAGCTGTCTATTGTATTCCGTGCCTCCAAATGCCCTGGTATGGTCAAGAGTGGGGAGGGCCCACCCTCCCTCTCGAAATGCTCGCACATGGCCACGTGTATACAGGCTCTACCAGGGAAGTCCTACTCACTGCCTTCTCGTAACGGGGGTGTTGTTTACGAAAATGAGAGGACGAAAAGCGAATGTCCGGCGCTTTAACCGGATTCCAAACCAATGGTGCACATGGGCTCCAGTCTCTGAGGGAACAAATGGAGTATGAACCAACTGTTGGCCACCGGCTACCACGGAACTACATCTCCTCACGATGCTCCACTGCCTTGTGGGTCAGACCTTTAAGTCAAAGGCTCGGGGTGTGGCCTCCTAAGAAAGCCACCTGCTTCGGTCTGGGCACCCGGGCAGGATCACAGCCCACACACAAATAAAATGAAAATGACGATATTTACTGAAAATTCTATTGACGCTTCGATTAACAGCCAAACAATTCACATTATTATCATTATTTACCACGTCACTTATTCACTCTCTTTTATTCCTACTTTGTGTATCCTTATTTTTCAACGTATATAGCAGCTCGCCCATGGTGGAAACTCTTTCTACTGTGGCGCATATATATTTGGCGCCCCCTTGTACCAATATTTATATGTTCAAATAAAATAAAATCCACTCAGATGTCGAGGTATTCATAGTCCAGTCGACCACCTGAAGAAAGAAGAAGAGAGAGAACAAGCAGCCGTGTTTGACTCCGGTCCATACTTGGAATGCATTTGTCAGCTGTCCTCTATGCACCACTTTGCACTGTGGTCCGTCGTATGAATTCCATATGATGTTGACGAACTTCTCAAGTACACAATAGTGTCAAGGAAGTTTCCATAAGGTCCTCCTGTCCACATTGTCAAACGCATTCTCATAATCAATGAAGTTGATGTATAGTTACGAGTTCCACTCAACTGATTGTTCAACGATGATCCGTAGTGTCGCGATTTGGTCTATGCACGACCGGTCTCTTATGTGGACAGATATAATTAGTATGTAGCAGGAACAGGGAGTGGAATATTTATCAGCAGGAGATTGAAATAAAGAGAACAGTAAACTAAATGGCGAGCGATTGGAATAACAACAGAATTAGAAAAATGATAGAGTATATAAAGAACAACTCAAAGAAGATATGCAAATGAAATATTTAATGTATAATTTTCAAATTTTATAAAGGCACTATTTGATTTTACATAAAATAATAAGTTGATTTATCGTACCTCAGTTTTCGTTCACCACAGTTGGCTAACTAAGAATAATCCATCATAAAAACTATGGAATTCAGTAATCTCCATAAACCTGTATTGTAAATTAATTAATCACTGAATCGAAAATATAAACAATTAAATTTAAAAATAACCAAATAGATAGATATAATAACTTCTAAGAAATATTCTGAGTGAATTCATAAACCACATACTTGACAAATTCGTATATTACTGTAATTTGCAGCAGATTCATCTAATGATTTTTTCATTTTCCCTTGGAAACCGTGTACAATAGTGAGTGGTAGTGATCTATGAAGAAAAACAAAAAATTTCTAAAATGTATTTTGAGGAAAAACAATTAACACATGTATAATAACATTTGAATAATAAATAAATCAAAAATAAGTTAATACTAAAAAGTTCATCTATTTCAGTTGAATGACATTTTCAGTAACAAACAATTTCAATAGTGGAGATCATGAGTCAATTGACGCTAGACCACCATGGAAAACCTGGAAGCACTGAACGACCGTTTCGTCCTATTGTGGGACTCCTCAGCAGAGCGAATCCACGATCCCGTGCCGCGAGATTCGAACGAAGGATCTATCGGTCCGCTGCACGAACGCTTAACCTCTAAACCACTGAGCTGGCATCCAACAGTGTTAATGTTTAACTCCAACTAATTCATGAAATTGAGCGACACATCCACCATTGTCATCAGTGACTTACTAATTCACAACTGACCCGGTTGAAGTTAGGCACTAACACCGTTGGATGCTGGCTCAGTGATCTAGTAGTTAGGTGCTCGCGCACGAGACCAGTAGGTCCTGGGTTCGAATCTCACGAAGCGGAGTCATGGATGTGCAATGCTGAGGAGTCCCACAATAGGACGAAACGGTCGTCCAGTGCTTCCAGGTTTTCTATGGTGGTCTAGCTTCAATTGACTCATGATCTCAACTACTAAAATTACTAAAATCTCTACGAAACCCCTTCTGACACAAACACTTTAAAGATTAATCATATGAATACTACATTAGAACTGATGAAAATAAATGTAATATACGTGTATAGGTACCTATCTAAAAAATGGAGATTGAGCTTTGTATTGAGATCATGAATTCACAAATTTTAAACTAACATTTGAAACCAGAAGGCATTGGACAACTGTTTTATCATAGTATGGAACTCCTCAGAAGTTCGCATCCATGATTCTATACGCGGGACTCCAGCTCAGGACCCTCGGTCTCGTGTGAATGCTTAATCTTTAGATCACTGGTCTGGAGGTTCATGATCTCAATACAAAATAATTATATGATAAAATGAACATTAACTAATTAGTTGAATAAAATCGTTAACTTGATTATTGGAAGAAATATTAATAAATAAACTAAAATAAATAACAATTGAAACTTTGAATGTACATGATGATAATCACTACTTCAGTAGCATAGATCATGTAGAAATGTGTTTTAGGATATTCTAAATTATCATGAAATCTAATGTCTAAATTTTTTAAGGTAATGTAAATACTGAAAAGTTGGTTTAGAAAAAAACCTTGCTAATTTACTTAAATCATAGTATATACTAACCTGAAGCGCTCAGGATATTGTTCCCTTAGCCATGGTATATCAAACATATAATTAAACTAGAAATAATCAACGGAAAGAAAAAAAATATTTGAAATTGTTATATCATATCAAAAATGCGAACTATGCGTAAGCTGAACGATAAAATAAGTGAAAAATGACAATAATTTATATCAGTAATTAATTATAATTAATGAAGTTTATGGAGATTCTTTTCGATAGCACAGTTAACATCACGGGAAGGTCTTAGTTAAACGACTACTGAAAACCAAACCTTTTTTGCGACTTAGTATGGGATTCCCCAGTGGTGCTAGTCCATAACCTCTCCATCAGGGATGAAATCTAGTGTGGTGCGTGCTACTTATATCGATGTAAGTAGTATATGACGCGAGTTATAAAACGTAATGTCTGGCAGCAGAAGATGGGAAAAGATCAAGAAAGGAAGAGTGACAACACAATGCAACAGGAACAGTCCAGGTTGATATGATGCATTGATATTTTGCAAATTAACGATTTACTATATGGTTTTTCTATTTTACCAAGTAACTGTAATTTTGTGCTAAATACAATTCGGTTGTCCTCACCTGTGTTCTCCTTCACTACACTAGGACCTTCGGTCAAGCGAGCAAATGCCTAACCTCTAGGACACTGATTTAGTTCCTCAGTGGTTGTTTGACTAAGACTATTTTGCGAACTCGACTATGAAAGAATAAACGATTAGTAAAAGTCAGTTAAGTGATTAAAAAGAAGCTTTGAGAAGATAAACTCAGTTGAAAGCATATTCATCATATTTGTTAGGAAAATTTTTAACTTACTTGAATTGAAGATACAAGTTCATCATCAGAGGAATTAAGAATTTCTATAGAAATGGGAAACAAATAGGGTAAATAAAAAAATTACGAACTACATAATTCTATATCATAACAACTAAAGACATTACTGGAGATAAGATAATATCAGGTAGGCATCCAATAGAAGGCTAATCTTTACCAGTTAATGTTCCCGATCCCTTGTAGGAAAGGAACTCAATACAACACAACCTCACCAAATAGCTGTTATCAGACCGAAAGACCAAGTATTAACAGCCAACACTAGTGGTTTAAATCACTTAGTGGGATACAACGATTACTGATATTTTTTATAAAATTAAGTCGATACTACTGTACTTGACAATGTGGTTAACATGGATTGATTTCCACTCTTAATTTTTTTATATCAAACTTCAGAGAATAGGAAATTGTTAATTAAATTTCCATTCACTTTTTTAGTAGATCAGTGACTCGGTGATTAAAGCCTTCGACTTTCATTCATTAAGTTTCAGTTTCATGTCTCGCTCCACCTACTTCCGGTTGAGCTAACTGATGGTATCCCTAGCCTTCTAATTTAAAATGTGGTTTATCGACAAGTACACAAGGTCACACCTGGTAAGCAAGTCAACAAGTAAGTAGTCCCTTTCAACGAACATTCTTGAAGTGAAGTTTTATTGAAAACGTTTTGTTATACAAGACGACTTCAATACAAGTTTGTAAAAAAAAAGAATAACAATAAGACATGAAGTCAGTTAAGGAGAAATACTGATAGATCAGTACGAAATCAGTACCTCCCGCTATTAAGAAAATTGAGGATCGGTGATCATTAATGTAAATCCAGCGTACAGTAATAAACGAAATCAACGTAGGTGAGAGACTTTGAGGTGGGCTAATGACTGACAAATAAATTTCCCTATCAGTCAACAGTATTGTTGAGCCCAGTGCAGGTAGACTGATATATGTATCTAAGTGTTCAGAACATCAGACTCAACCACAAAATCGATGGTTTAAATTTATTTCTAACTGCTTCAGATTGAACAGCTTGAACTCATATGCTATATGCAACGAATACATTGATATATAGTACCATATTTAGTCAACTAATTTCAGATGAGTTATTTGTACACAGCTTAAAAGATATCTCAGAGATCTTGATACTAAACTTCGGTATTGAAAATCTTGACTAATAAACAAATATCATAGATAACACGAAAGACTCAGATACATTCACGTGATGAACTATAGCTAAGACGAAACGTATAGTGAATTACACTACTGTGTCATAAAATGTTAATAACTTACCCTTTAAGGTTATGGTAGGAATTCTACCGTACTTTACACCAGATACGCGAAAGAGATAAATGCCATAGAAATTTTCATTGGTTGATACGTCTTCTGAATCTTTGGTGCTGTTTGTGTTTGTAGTATGGTGCCCAACCAATACTTCATTATCTGTTAAATGTATGGGATAATACACCGATGAGTTCATTGCCACAACGTAATAAACAAGCAAAACAGTTTCTTATTCAAACTGTTAAATAACTATGACAACACTAATAGAGCTGTATAACATAATTCAGAAATAACAAGAGCTCATTTCATCACAACTTTTAATTAAGGTTGAAATTCAAAAATCCTATTATGTAACAAAACCTTATACATGGTGTTTAGCAAGATAAGTAGAAATTATTTTAAAACAACCAAGTCTCTGATCACAATTAAGAATTGTTACAAGTTGATTGAATGTAATTGTACTCTGTGACTACTTACCATATAAGAACGATTCAAACGAACTAGCTTGGTATTTACAGAAGTGAAAAACTATTTCTTCTCACTGATCCATAAGAACTAAAATATTTAAGTAGCCAATTCATAGAAATACGGACAAAATAAAGAGGACGACGATTTTAACAAATTCATCTAAGAGACAATATACTAGATAATGTATGAAACGTAGATCTTAGCATGCGACTAAATGGTTAGAAATTGAGTGGTTAAATTACTAAATATCTGCACCTAAAATAACACTGTTCAGATTATTCGGAATAACATGATTTGAATTGATTTGTACGTGTCCAATGTGAAGAAAAGTAGACAGATGTTTACAGTTAATTTAAACCAAAGCCAAGCAAAATCATTAATGACCGGGAATCAGATTGCTCATAAACATTCAAATCGAGTATCATAGCTAGTATAAGTTAAGTTGATAATCTCAAAGGTACTGGTCACAGTCATTTCCTGTTCATATGTGGAAAACTAACCTGGATGATAAAATTCTTCAAAGTGTTGAGGATTTTTTCGATAACAAGTTCTCCCATACTTACAAGGTGGTCGATATAGTCCAACGTCAGAATTCGTTGACTGTTTTGTAGAAAAGCTCGTCTATAAATACAAAGTAGTGCCAACCATGTTAAAGAAATTGCTTTCCGAATAAACACAGCATGATGATAAATACTTTTGATGATAATGAAAATCAGATATTTATTTTATGTTGCCGATGCCTGATTATTTATATTTTCACTGTCGAACAGATTTCCCACATGTCACAAATTGCAATAAAGCGAACACCAGCCTCAAACAAGATTATACTCGGAACAGAAGGATGAGCATGATAGCAAGTCCAAACGCAACAACTGTTCAGGTATCCCTGGTTTCTATTAGTTCTACAGCTATCAGCATGTGCTGAAAACTATTTGGAAATTTCGAAAAACCATTCAAATCGCTAGTGTATCATATGCTATTCATAAATTGTTAGCTAATCTCCATTTTATTATATTAGCTGAATAACTTAAGATAAATGTAATTGAATAAAAACACTATCCAATGTGTTAAGAAAGGTGAATCTGTTGTACTAAAACTTTAAGTCAATAGATGTACACCACTTATTAGACGAACATACTGAAAGCTTTCACAACTGTTCATAGCATACCCTTTATCGAGTATTAATTCATTTCACGTATCAATCACATACGGAAATCACAACTGTGGACATAAACTCACTGAAAGACATTAATTCATGCTAAAATATTACATCAACTCCACCCAGTTTACTCTGTTAATTAAAAAAAATATCAGACTACTTATTAAGTGTACCTAATAAATGTCCCAATGCGGGTTATCTATAATAATTTTACATCATTTTGATTTTGTTTAAGCTAACGTGGTGCTCTACAATGAACGTAAATCTTATCCCAGTTTATCATAAAAACAAAAGTGATGCCCTTCAGATTCGATTATTATGGGTTTACCGCAAAGTATGGCATAGTCCTTTTATGAGTGGTAAAGTTTTATCTAGGTCACCAGCGAAAACACAGTAATGTTTGGAGCACTTTGTATAGATGTAAGCGACATGATCCACCTGTTTTACTGCTTAGAATTGTTGGGCTTTCATAGATTATAATGAGACACTTTGAAATTCGCAGTTTTAAATCAACAATGGAAATAAAGGGAATAGGCAAATTTTTCAAAACTTATTGAACATATGATTTTTGACAAAAGTGTACTGGTTTGGCTTGTCATACATTGGTGAAACGTTTAATTCCCAGGTAGTGTCCAAAATCAAAACTTCTCTTTTCATAATGATGGAGTAAATTGTTTGCTACCCGCTTCGGTTTGTGTATTTTTATGGTGTCAGTAGAGGTTGATCTGATGATTTATGTATCCAAACCGTATTACTTATAAGTAGCTACTAATTTCTTGCACAATTTTCCGGCTGGCAGTTGCTTATGTAAGGTGATCATTATTTCTCAGGCTATATTGAACTAGCCACTGTATTCTTTAACTATGTTGACAGCTATTACTTGTTTTATCCCTTTGAGTGTAAGTCAGTATCGTATCATGGATATGAATACATAATATACACACAAAATTTTAAGTACTTTGTCTAGGTATTTGAAAGATTAACTAACGTGACAAGTGATGTTTACAAAATATTTCACAATGCAATAGTGATCAACGTTTACGAGAAAATGAATAAAATAGTGTGCAACAGATTATAATTAAGTTCTAAAACGGAATGCCGATTAAGATCGCTATTAGCCCGAATTATGTGCGATGTAACAGATAATGTGAATGTATAGTAATCAGTTCTGCTGGAACCCATTAATGAGAATTAAATGTATACATAAAACCAGGCTTTCATCGGTTTGAAAAACCAATAAATTGAATGTTAGACAGACAGCCAGGAGAACTACTCGATATAAATATCAACTGAATCACTGAGACTTCATAACAAGGTCACAATACAATCCTACATTATCACTAACGTTTTTAATAGGGACAATCACTTCATACATGAAACTTTGGTTAGGATTAAACTTAATTAATACTGAATAGAAAATAATATACTATACAAAAATTTTATTATGGGTGAATGTAAACATTAATTTAAGGGAAAATAAGGAGAAATGAACATGTAAACAACAAGAAGGGCTATCTATGTACGTTTAACCATTAACCGTAAAATACACCAAAGTGAATGCAAATACAAAGATTTCAGTAGGAAATAAATAAGATAATTAACATATAATTATAAACTAAATTCATAAATCTTGAAATCCTATCCGTTTAACTTTTGATGTCTTTTATTTAGGACCATGAAAAAAAATCTGATGTACAAAATTACGCAATATAGATACAGATATAATTGGTAAAAACAAGTTATTATTGCAAAATATCGTCTCTGAATTTTAGAATTAATGTTTAGACATCTTCCATGTCGTCATCATCTTCATCTTCGTCTTCATCATCACCATGATCTTCAACAATCTCATCAGGATCCACTAGTTCATCATTTGTATCATCACTATGAGCCATGGGATGCTCATTGTTGACGCCGATTACGGAAGAAGCCATTTCACGGCTATCACTAATTAGAGTTCTGATCAAGGTTGACGAACCCATGCGAGAAGCTCCATCACTTCTAAACTGACGGTTTAAAATGCTAGAGACTCCGGAAGATGGAGTATGCTGTCGATGGCGTAAAAGTCCGCCTGGACCACCTGGTACAACATAACCACGAGATGCGGCTGCACGAGCATAATGCTGAGTATCACCAGGCACAAACCCACTATTAGAAACAGATCCAGAAATATGACCACCGTCTTCATCGTCTGGACTTCGATTTAAATAAAGTTGCCGTAAACCACCTTCATTTACATTTGTATTCGTTGTATCGAACAAGCTAGTATAATGAGAGTTGGTATCGAGTGGTGATCGCTGACTACTACGTAAAGAGTGATCTAACTGTTGATGCACGTTAACTGGCCCTCCATGACCACCGGATCCCATAGAGTCACCACCTTCATCAGTATGACCGGCTGCAGCCGCAGCAGCTAATCTGGCTTCAACGAATAACCTTCTTTGTTGATGAAGCGCCTCAAAGTCAGGTACAATGGCCTGACGTCGTTCGTAAATGGCTAGGAAGAAAACAAAAAAGAATTGGAACAAATATCTTACGATGTTGTATAGTATTTCAGAATTCGCATAAAGTATTTTGAAGCATTTGTACTCCGTAAAGAGTAAGTAGCATATAAAAAGTATACTCCAGTAAACGGAGTTTACTAGTGTTTAGTGTATGACAACCGACGATGAATTAATAATGATAACTTAGGAATTAGCTAGTAAAGAATACCAGTAAAAGAGTTAATTAAGGGATAATATTTCGTGAGAAAAGAGGGTATTTTTTTATTATGGGATAAAAGTAATGCATCTTCTGAGCTTTCATTTCGTTTATTACGTAGGGCTACTGCAACTTGAACCAACATACTAGGTTCTACTTTACGTCTGACTGACTATTAAGTACGTCATATGGATTTTGTAGTGAGTGCTTCAGAGAACCTATCACAGTACATCAATAATCCTACTACATGATATAGTGGGAAAATATCACATTAGCTATGCGACCTACTAGTTTGTGATAAAATATTAGATTGGATCAACCAACTTAATAAGCTTTAACTTCTTATATCTTAAAAGTATATGAATAACAGATAAAACAAAGACATTGAACATATTTGAGTAACCGTCACAATACAATCAAAATCAGATGGTTGTAAAATCCTTTAATTGTCTAAAAAAGTTATGAAGGTATATATATGACTCATTAAAAGCCATACTTCGAACCTTTCATACTATATGCATTAAATTTTTTTAAAGAATATAATTTGACGATAGTAATGTTTTACGACATTGAATAAATGAATATTTTTGTTTTTAAAATATGAATGTCCCATCCCTCAGTTTGGTGGTTAGAGCAAAACACTTATGAAGAATAGAAAGGACTACTTACCCTCTACATAAAATCTTAGAGATGGTGGTACTAACTCTAAGCATTGATTATACTCCTCTTGTGTACAATGAATAGTACCTAGGCGAAGCATTAAACCCATGCGTTTTAAGGTATCAACTTCATCACGTATCTCGTAGGCTTGATCGAAATTAAATAAATATTCCAACCTGAGAAAAAATTAACATAAACCTGTTCACACGAAAGTGATATAGCTTTCAATAAAGAATATATTTACTAAATATCTCTAAATTCTTGAGAAACACGACACAAATTAGCCACTTTGGTTACATGAATTATGTACTGTGTAGGACAATTGTTTATAGCAGGCTTTAGAATAAGTTTGCAACAGATGTGGCTTAATCATCAAAACATTGAATTTTCAGCTACTATGTAAACTCACACCTGCCTTCAGCAACTTTGATGTTGGCTTCCAAGAGGTATCACCCAATAGTGTGGCTTTAATCTGGATACACGATTCCGTACTTGGTTGTTAAGTTATATTAAAATATTAGTTTAAATTACAGATGAAAATCTGATAGTAGGTAGGGAAAAAACGGGTTACCACACAATTCAGATTAACGTCTAACAAATAACAGTGTACTGGAAAACTGAGATTTTATCAGAAATTCAATCAAATGTAAAATATTAAAGTCAAGATGGTGATTGAGTTGATGAGGTTGTGAATATTCATCAACTGGATTATATAGAACTTGTGCTATTCTTTCCTAACCACATCCCGCCTAGGCGAAAAACAGTAAAGGTTCGAGAACAGCAGGGGCAGACAAAGTAGGAATTGGTATACACATATGAAATCAAAGAGTAGTGGTTTGAACCGTGCTAAGAAAAGTAAATTTGATGATCGAGGTCCACCTAAAGATCTTCCCCACTTGTTAGGGTGGCTTGACATTGGTTACGATGGAGTACATATTGTTTTGTATTTCTGTGGCTCTTCAGTTTAAATATTGTTCTGCATGTTTTCTTACTTGAATTATATTCCGTGTTTACCACTGACGGTATTGTTTTTTTCCGACGACCACGTTGCGAAAAAAGAGATCAATGGGATAACACCTAGTGAGTACGATTAGAAATAAAAGCAACACACTTGAACTACAAAATCTTACTTCGAAAATGATATGGTGGGCTAGAATTAGGTTTAACAGTTTGGCCTTTATACGTTGGAGAATGATTGACTTACAAAATTGATTTTGTCGAATCATCTACAACATCTAACCGTTTTTGTGTTAACATCTTATATATAAGTATGAAAAACCTACTCTCCTGGCTAGTAACTTCGTTTTTGATCTTCAATCACTCAGGGGCATACGTTAATAATGCGATGTTGTAAGCAGCCACAACTCTGTCACATCGTATCACTGCAAACCATCTGTAAACCAGCAATCTTCCCCCTCAATTTAACAGCCGAGAATTCGATCATCGAACCACTAAACCCTGCTCCATAACAGAAACTGAACACTAATTTTATAGTACGTCAAAATTTACTATGTTCTTATATGCAATCTTTCTTTTATATATTACCACCTCTGAATTAATCACTCCTATGAATCCGGTGTTCATCTTGCTGTGCTAATGAGGTATGGCAACTTGGACCGATGCATATATGTGCCTGGTCTTACGTTGTAGCTGACTGAGTAAATCAAAATAGTGTCTAGTCAATTCTTTCTTTTTTCGTCATAGCTTTTCCAGTGACATTCTAATGTAAACGATGGAACTTAATCAATAAACTTATCGTAAGATCATATGTTATTTTTGTTTATGTGCTATACAATCAGTAGCAATTGAACAGAAACTTATAGCTAAGCTTGTAACCTAGTGTAAAATTAACAATCATATTCACAGAAATGGAGGATCATATTGGTAACTTGAGTCAGAAAAAGGAGGAAATTGTTAAAAGATGTTAATCCAATGATATTCTTACATTAAAAAGCTGTCTCAGAGATTATGCATTCTATATTCAGTTAATGTTTAAATTAGATAAACGAATTGTAGACAGATTCAACTTACTTATCAGTAGATATATTGCAGTCAATAACAGTTTTCCTGTGAGTGGATATCACCAAAAATGGCAAAGGAATCTTTTCATTACGAATTTTCGAAGTACCATTAGATGTCATTTTATCTGAATCAGTATTGATGTTACGTGATCCACCACAAGTGTTAGATTCTGAAACCATACCATTACGTCTACAACGGTCATTGATTTTATTGCGCATTACAAGGTTTTTAAAAGCAATCAATTGCATGATGAGATCTTGTATTTCAACAGTCTGAAATAACAATTGATAACGGAAAACTAAGTTTACTTAAGAATAATATTTTTTGGAAAAATTTCAAATCTTTCTTTGAAGTAGTAGGTTGTTTGAGCAAAGAAACACTAACAAATTTTAGGTGGAAGCCATGATATGTAACAACAGGTATGGTACAAGACATGTTAAAGTAAATTAGCTCCCATAGTAAAATGACACTATTGGAGATGTGATGCGATAGCCTAAAAACGTCTTTTTATGCCACTTGAATTGGGATTTGAAAAACCCCTTCACTTAACTCGGCTTGGGAAGCTGAATAGTATACAGTAAATGTAACTTAAACGCGGACGCATTTGAATTTGAAATAAGTTATTGAATTTCACTAAAAGTAACATTCGACTTTAACAAGCTGTAAACTTTAGAAGACATCTATGGAATCATAGAGACCACAAGATTACATTATTTTCTAGGTTATAAAAAAACATACATCGTAAAACCCAGACGCAACATTTCTTCCATTCATAGCAATCCAAATAACATGACAGTGTAGGGACTGTTATGGTCTATGAACAAAATACTATATGTTTATGTGGAAAAAAGGAATCAGATTATAATAACGTTTCAATAAAATAAAATTTCTCCATCAACTTAAAGAATAACAATTATTGTCGTATTTTTAAAGGAATGCGTATGATTATGATTTGAGGATTATCCTAACATATCCACTTTCTTTGGCCTAGTTTGTGCTTTTAAGCATTCTTTGTTACGGTTATTGATTTTCAAAGCTTTATTATACGACATTATATAGTAATAACCTCAGTTTATTGATTTGCAGGAAAAACTGCCCATCAGTCCTTTCACGAACAAACAAATATGTACATTTGGAAATAATAATCTAATTTTGTGAAAATGTAGGTTTCCGTAAACTGATGTGAAGTCCACGTATTTGAAAGTAGATATCGCTAAAATACCCAGAATGGAATTAAAATCAGAGAATACTGATCTTTTAATAGATGTTAGGAAGGATGGGACGAACACGATTATGCAACCGGATTTTTAGGAAAAAATAAATGATCCACTGAAACTAAATACTCAAAAACAGGAAATTTCGAGTCAGGATAATTAACTTGATCGTAGACTTTTGATCGCTTTTGACAAGTCATTAATACCTGAGCAAAACGCACATATTTCTACTAGCTAACCACAATGGTGGCGTAAAATATAGTATTATTCCGAAAAACGAAACTAAATTATAACCATTTAATCTGATAACGCCATGAACGTACTTTATTCCGCAGAGAAATCTGTCGCTTTTCACGCTCTTCTTCCAAACGCCGACATTCTTCTATCATATTTACGGGCAGTCCAACCCAACGGATCTCCTTTTTCTCTTTTTGAAGTACATTTAAGGCCATTAGAACATTTAATGCATCATAAACGCGCCGACGAATATTCTTCTGAATATAATGAAGCTACAAAAATAACGTGATTTGTTGCATTTTTAAATATTTAAAATAATCTTTTCAGTTGCTAATAATCTTTGTCAAGAAACAAATCCGACAACTCACTTGTTCAGATGGAATCATGGGATGTTCAGCAGCATACTCGTGTACAAGCTCATCAGCAACCTCACTATAGGAAGTTATACCTTTCTCTTTAACCTTGTTACAAACACAACGGGCATAACGTCGAAGACCATTGGTTTTCAGACCGGTTGTAACCCTAAAAAAGAGGGATGTAGAGTATCGAATTATGATGAACGAAGTAATGGAATTTAGTGAGTAATATTTCGATGACCAACAGAATATAAGGATATATATATATATCACTATTCTTTGACGATGAAACTCGAGTTTTAAGGAAGTTATTTCGATAAGACAGCTCTAAAGAAAAATTATTTGCTCAACCTCAAAGACTACATGCTAGATTGTAAAGAACAATTTTGGAAGATTCATAATGAGAATGAACATGCTTAGTAAATACAATAATAATAAGACTTGTAGCATATTGTGGTGTCAGTTAGGCTTGTGAAAATAATGAATACATATCAAGTGACGACAACTTACTGTTCTTGTTCTTCACCCTCCTCACGACCAGCCGGACTGGCTGAGTGTTCGAAGCCAGCGGCATTATGCATATTTATATCGTAATAACCAGAAGTTGTAAGGACACCGTGAGGAGCTCCGTTAATAATTTCACCTCCAGACCCTATAATCATTTGATTCTCAACATCCTCAGAACTTTGATAGTTGACAGAAGATCCAGTGAACTGTGTCGACGGAGCACCAGAAAAAATCAGCGTGCCCTAATCAATGATAAAGTAAGTAAGAAGCAAAAATGTATCATTAAATGGTTGAGCAAAACTACACTGGTCCCATATATGAAACAAAAAAGTCTATATTTTCTGAAGTGGTCAAAATTAAGAACTACTTATGTGTAATAAACTTACAGGTCTCACAGGTGTAATAGTGGTAGCACCGGTCAAGACTGTGGGACCAGATGATAACTGAGGACGGATGGTAAGAACACGTGGGAAATTTGATGTTACAGTAGCGCCGCTAGAATTTATCACCTGCTGACCCCAGCAGGAAGTATTTTGACAGTTCTTTGGAGCATATGCATTGGTATCACTAAAAATAGAACGATATACGCTATCATTCACAACAGAAACTGAAGATTAAAAGATTTTCAGTATTATTGAATAATTATTAAAGACATTCGTTTAAATTCAAATATGATGTTGACATGGAATTGTACACAAAGGAAGCTAATAAAAGTTATTTCTCCCAACGAAAATGTACAGAGACTAGTACCTAAAACAGATACCTGAAGGTTTTCATACAACTTACATCACGATAGAGAGGAATCGATAACATGAATACCAGAGGTGTGAAAACATTGATAGCCATTGTAGTGGAAAACATTACGAGAAATATAGTTTGAAAAGAGTGTGAAGTGTAAAATGAAGCTTAATAAAGAAATTTAAGAAATATATGCGCCTGAGGTACCAAGGTCAATTTTGGGCAGTACCTTGAACCGTAGACACTTTCTTCCTGTACTATATCCTCATATGCAATCTTCCTTTTATATATTACCACCTCTGAATTAACCACTCCTATGAATCCGGTGTTCATCTTGCTGTGCTAATGCGGTATGATAACTTGGGCCGATGCATATATGCGCCTGGTCCTACGTTGTAGCTGACTGACTGACTGAGATTAATTGTCGCACGGACTCCAACACGATAATTTAGGTCCTATCAAACGGCAAACGCCAGGCAGTCAATGATTTTAAAGACAGACGCCACATATTTTCCCCTTGTTCCGGATTGTTTCTCCAACTTAATCTTATGCTGGTCAAAACTGGAGGCAGTGGTTGGGCATGAGTATTATGTCGCCCAACTACCTCAATCAACTGATATTCTCATCGGTCCGTCTGAAAATTTTTAGCAGAATCATTAGTACAACTACAACTAAGTGACTTGATGATTGCGCACTTCCAACCGCTATATAACTTTTACCGCCAAAGACTGTTTCTCTACTGTTAAGTAGCTAACAATCAAAAACATACCATTTTACATCAGCAACCGATCAGTAATCGGTCATACGTAACGTACGCATGTGCCATGTTCTACGTTGCATGTGGTTAATCGATTGAGCTTTATATTTCAACAATTAAAATATGCCCAAAAATCAAACTTTAACCCATAATATACACACAAGTTACGGCTTACCTGCTGCCTTTAGAGGTTTACCTCCAGCACCTTGACCCGGAACAGTAATTATCTTCACAGTCTTAAAAAGAGAAAAAGACTGTGATTAACAGAATACTCTATAGACTTTACGGAGTAAACGAAGATAAATTACACCACTAAGCATCAATTATAACGTTATCATGTCAAATAATTATTTTAGGGATTACACCATGGAACCTTTTAAGTGTTAAAATGATTGTTGTATATATACGTACCGGTTAAAAATCATATCTGATAAACAGAAGTAATCTGATGCATAAAGTTACCTTTAATCCTGGACGTTGAACCGGCGAGTTCGGCACAGTCGGTCCAGACCCTGGGGCACTCCTCTGTAACATTATGACGCGTGGGCCTTGTTGACCAGATGATGCCTTTTGAAAGTGTAAGGTTCCATCTGCTCCCATAGTGATGGTTCCCGCACTAGATACAGCAGAATGTCCAACTCCTGGTAAATTCGCATTGCCTGATACAATTGGTTGATCATTAGACCCAACAGTTATTTCTTGTTCTGCAGCTGGTATGTCGAATAGATCTGTCGATACTGCTCCATAAGGGTCCATCTGAAATATGAGGTTACATTAGAAATAACCTGATAAGCCACTGGTTAAAAATTATTGAGTAAGACCATATACAAACAAGCTGATCTAGTGGTTGAGTAAAGGGTGAGGCAACTATAATGACATGGTGATCAGGTTGAGTGACGTCGTAAGAAGTTGTTCTTTGAGCTTGCTATCACGTTTCCAAGACAAAGCTACTTTTAATCCTGTTCTCCAAACAAATATCTTTCAGAAGCGTGATTGGTCGGAAAGTGACCAATGCTAGAACATCTATAACAGCACTTCCTCAAGTTGTGCTGGGGCTGCATACATAACAATCTTATCCAACGAATAAAGTTTCTATGAAATTGATTCGAACTAAAACAATGTTTAAAACGCTTTAAAGTAGTCTTTATTACTGATAAACTCCTGGTTATCGTGAATATCTGACGATGTACATTAGAAACATAACTACGATCCAAACAGTAAATGCATTGAAGCCTTGGATCAAATGAAAGTTTAAATAAACGCGCTAGTGATTCGAATCCCAGTTAGTGCCCCAAAATGCCCTGGTACGGCCGACAGTCGGGAGAATCAGCTCACCCTCTCGAAATGCTCTTACATGGCCACGCATATACAGCCACTACCAGGGAAGTCCTACTCACTGTCTTCTCGCGGCATTACTATTGTTTACGAAATTAAGAGGACGAAAAGCGAATGTCCGGCTCTTTAACTGGGTTGGTGGATACGGAGAATCCACCTAGGAGTTGGAAAACCTTGACTCCAAACCAATGATGCACGTGGGTTCCGGGATCCTAAGGAAACAAATGGCGTATGAACCTATTGTTGGTCACCGGTTAACATGGGACTGCATCTCCTTACGTTGCTCCACTGCGTTGTGGATTAGACTTTTCGGTTAAAGGCTCGGGGTGTAGCCCGCTAAGAAAACCACCTGCTTCGGATTGGGCACCCGGGCAATATCCCAGCCCTCACACAAACTGAATGATTTATGTGGCGCATATCTATTTGTACCAATGTTTATATTTAAATAAATAAACAGTGCATGTTACTAAGCGGTAAGATTTAATCACCATGATAAGATTTTTTATATTCACCTTGGATTACAATCTACAGTAAGAAGTTTAGTAAAGAATTATCCAAGCCAGAAATGTTTTGAAAAGAATTGTTTCTAACTGTATTTTCAGAATAATTGGTCTCAAATTTGTCACTCCTGATCTTGCTAGTGATTTTACTTGATTGATATGAAGTAATAACCAGAGAAACAGAGCGTCAAAAATGAGGTTGCACTTTACACTGTTACTGCTACTATAGATCAAATATTCACCCTTCGACGTCCTACTATAACTATACTCCTTTCTATTAGGCGGCGTCCGACTTTGTTGATTGTGAGGTTCTATGGTAGTGTCTGTCATTAAAAGACATACTAATGTACATTAACCTTGTACAGTCTCTCTACTCGAACACTTCTGGTTTAGTTAAAGCTTATGGCGAACTGTCATTTTGAATCGGTTACTTCAAGTATGTTCGTCAGGGTTGTCCACTTTCTCCGATTTTAATTAACTCTGAAATGCAGGCTCTTAGAGATAACGCTTACACTGCCTGACTTTAGTGGTTAATTTTCTACTAGGAGCTCTAATTCCCGACTTAGAATGAGCACATGATATAGTTCTGTTACGTGAAGGCACTGAAAAATATGTTCTGACCATCTTAAGCAACAGTGAGAGCATGTTTGAGATGCGGTTTTCTCCCTTCGAATATAAAATGCTACTTTGCGATTGGCCTACGTTACCGCTTGAACTAATTATAGGAAGTGAAATAGTTCAACGCATCAGTCACTACACTTATCATGGGAGTCTCGTAAGTACTGATGGTACGTTGTCTGGAGAAATTTCGACATGGATTCAGAAGGCTGGTTTGGCTTTTGCTAACTTGCGAGTTTACTCAGCAGTACGCTCCATCCTTCTTTGTGGATGTGAGACATGAGCATTAAGAGTTGAGGTATTCGATCATAGGTGTCTAGGAAGCGTTGCTCGTGTATTTTGTGACCACAGAGTAGGCAATGCCCAGCATAAGAATAGAGTACTAGGTAAAGGTGGGAAATCGATTACTGAGGTAGTGAACCTTCATTAACTGAGATAGCCAGGACGTGTGTTACGTATCCCCAACTACTACCTACATCGACGAGTGACGTTTTCTGGTGTAAGAGTAGGGTTGAGGGAAGCTATGGGTGGCCGAACCAAAACATGGTATCAGTCCGTGAAGTCACTTATCCATGTTAATTCGTAGAAAACCTGGTTGAAGTCCCAACAGGCAAGTCCATCTTTTGTATCCCTCCTAATCCTAAGATTTTAAATTCCTCATAACGTTTTTTTGGAAATTTACATTTCCATCAAGTCATATCTTCGATCCCTGATCTTTCCCATTACCACTAATACTTTTACTACCTCCACTATACCGGAAATTGTCCCGAAAACTTCTATGCCAACAGAGTATAGCAGCTGGAACGCATGTACATATGTGCAGGTTTTACGATGTGACTAACTCATTACACTACAAAGTTATCTTTAGAAACTTAAAAACCATTATGTAGAGAATATAATACACTGAGTTTTAGAACAATGAATCATATTAAGTTTATATAAAAATGCAGACTATGCAAGTGATAGTGAAATTACCAATGACAGAAACTCCTCGTCCGATAGTTATCACATGAACAATTAGATGGATCAACTGTGAGGCTGAAAAAACTTGCAAACGTTTAACCTTATCATCAAATATAATGGAACATACACGTCAACCACTGAAGCTACTTTCTAATACTCACAAACTGAATCTCAGTACACTCATAGTAATCACAATAAATTCTTTCAGTACCACTGACTAGACTAGATACCGTAACTACTACGTTTTTTTTAGAGACATCAAACAAACTAAGTACCTAGCAAACGTTGTAGAATACTGATCTTAGGTTGAGAAACCTCTTTAACCTTCAATATAAACTTCATACTATGTGAATAAAACACTAACTGGTAAAAGTTATTATTAGTGAAGACGTGATCGAAAAACTAATGTCCTGATAAGAATGACCTTCTTGCCTTGTAAATAAGAACAATCAACACTCACGAGTAAGATGATTCGTCTGGACACATCTTATTAAACAAGATCCTTATCATAATTCGTAAAATCTTACGACAGCAGACTTAACAATCCGTATCTTATTCCGGAAGCTGCAAGCAGTTGAATCTTCACAAAGCGTAAGCCGCTTCATGATAAAATATAATATACATTTTATAAAGATCCATAAAGTGAAAATTCCGCGGAAAAGACTGGCGGAAAATTAGATTTGCGCTCACTTTTATTAGCGGAACTTTCAAAAGGGACGTCCTACAAGTCGAACCGCGAATATTCTGTCGTCGCAATTATTTAAACAAACTTAATTGAAACCAAAAAAATGTCTCTATCTCTACATCTGAAACAATAACTATCAGAAATATAAATTCTTTCATAAAAATTTGTTGTCTACGACAATGATAAGTTTTCAAGCATGGAATCAGCGGTAACGTATTGTTTTCTTCGAACTTTGTTGAGGAGACTGTTACCATCCTGCGAATAATGTTTAGGCTATTTGCTATGGTCCGCCATGTTCCTTATCATCTTTGTTAAGTTTGAAATCCATAATTGGTAGTGCTAATATGAGTAAAAATTTTAGGAGTATTCAATGCTGATAGAATTACGGTCCGTAACAACTTTATAATTAAGGGCCTCAAACCCAGTAAAACAAGACCTCAAGAATTAAGAGGCTCGAATTCACCCTCGAAAAATATTCAAGAGGTATGTTGTATTAGCTGGATAGTGTCTGTGAGGGATGGATACCATGTCGTATTGATAAAGTGAGAACGGCTGATCGAGAGTCTTTATATACGGTGAATCCAGTAGAATGAATGGGGCTTCATTGACACCGAAGATTCACAAAACGGGACACTTTGGGGGTTTTCCTCAGTCTATAGAAAGGATACTTTCAGTATCATAAGGCCTAAAGTAGTTGTCGACTCCCTTTTAGAAAGTCATCGATAAAGAGTAAAATTAAAAAGCTTCAAGAAGTTTTTTGGGAAAAATCTTATTTTTTCTAGTCCTTCCATGAGCGTTTTTGGAGGAATTGTATTAGACCTCATGACTTCTGGTACTACTCATACCTTGACTGTGTTTGAGTGTTTAGATACGGTGTGATCAAGCGGTGAATTTCAGCAATTCGCGAACTGACTAGAAAAATGAAATTTTTCAGCGTAGACTATCTGATCTTAGTAAACGGACTTTCTGATGTTCCTATATAGAGTGACAAATCCAACGTGGAATGAAACTATGAGACATAATTAACAAAATCTTTGCACAGCGAAGAGTAAACCAGTTTTTAGATAGCGTAGTGACCCGTAGTAAAATATCGGAAAGAGGTTACGGAGAAATCCCTTTCACCGTTCTGTTTACTTCCTTTCTAGGTATGTCTGCCTCATATTTGAAGTAATAGCTCTGGGCTAATCTTGGGTCCCAAATTGCACATCAAGTACGTTGGATATAATTACATGTCATATGAAACAATAATTTATTGTTCAACAACGTTGAACAGACTGCCAGTGTACCTCCGTTGCAGTGAAACCACAACCCGGTTCCGAAGTGTCTTTTATGATTTTCTTTCCCAAAGTGGATTGTGTCACCTACTGAATACCAACGTGTTTAATAATGATTTATTCAAACAAGGTCCTAAATCTATCTAACTGACTGTAAAGCAAAGTAAACCTTTGAAACTTTTAACGCCCATTTCATTTTGTTTTCTTTCATTTCATCTTATTATATGAAATCCGCTTATGTTCGTATTTATAATTATTACTGTTATTACTACCACTATTAATCGCTCAACACATTAGATGTTTTTTTAATCTTTTCTTATCTTTCTACACATATTATATCCCTAAACATCTATAACTAAAAACACAAAATAATAAAATTATCCTATATTACACTTAAATAAATGTAATATTAATTTAATATTCACTACACCTTTATTATCATGGTTGAACCCTTTCACTAGGTGTCCATTTCTTTTATATATCTCACTTTTCCTCCTAAATGAATATTATCATTAAGATTCCGAAATTTGTAATTAAGACAATGACTTGTGTTACACTTGAATTAACTTTTCGGACTCGTTTTATTTTCACTATGCATATATGACTCAAAATATTGATATTTAGTTATCCGTTGAACGTAACTGAGACGTTCATAGCATCACACCACAAACACTTATTCTGACGTCATATCTTACTGCAATAACGAGTTATTCTTATATTTACTTTGTTTTGTTTGATTTTTGTTACTCATTTGGCGATACATACACAGTCGTTTATTTTTGTTCTCTCATCACAAAAATGCTTATTAAACTATTTACTTATTTCGCATCTCCTTTATTTCTATCCTCATATTTTATCCCTTCCCTTCTTTAAGATCAGCTAAATATTCTTCTCAAACACACGGAATCTAGTTTATAATTATTCTATTGTCGTTATCATCTTTTTTTCTCGTTTTTCGAAATATGAAAAATATAATGATAACATTATTGGAAATTGTGTATTATTGCCTTTTCGAAGAAACCCGAAATGGTTTCTTCAAAACAATAATGTACCCATAAGATGTTTGTGAATAATGATATTATTAATAACAATAATAACCACACAAACCTCGAAGTTTAACATTAGATGACTGGGAAAATAGATGTTTCACATTTAACATCGAGGTGAAGTCGAGAGTATTCATTTCAATTCACTCAGATAGCATGGCTCAACGTCGCAGACATGGTCATTCTGTATAACTTGTCTTTGCTCACATTAAATATATTATTCTGTCTTTAACCTAAATGTGTTCTTTACAAACGTCAAACGTTATATTGCGGATTGTTACGATACGACGAGTCCGAATACACAATAATGTGACTTCCACGTAAGATCTTATAGATTATGTTTTCATACTATGACATATCTGCAACTTCAGGAATAGGTATATTATTATAATAGTACTAATAACGAAGCAGACCATAACTTGTCCCATCGTGATATGTGCTACCAATGTCGACAGATATAAATAGTATGTATCATTAACCGAAAAAGAAATGCCTGGAGGCAGAAGACTAAAAAAAGTGAAGAAAAGAGAACGGAAACAGTGGATGATTGGCATGAAAACGAAAGAGCAACGAAGTCTGAGACTACTGATTCCTGCTTATGCTTTGACTTTCTCTGCTGTGGTTCGGCCGTTGTTACTTGCTGTCCTCCTGCTTTTATTTCCTAGAATCTTGTCCACAGTTTCCATACATATCCATTCCATATGATGATGCTTGCTGCGGCCCAACACCTACTGGCAAGTTGAAGTTAGTGCTTTTTTGATATCTTTTTCTCCTTCTTCTTTCAGTAGATCCTGTAGTGGTTGAAACCTGTTGTTGAGAGTGATTTAGTTTGTTAATATCACGATGAGAGACAGTATTGAACTTTTGTACTGATGTTTCTATAGTTATTCATCGATTCTTCGCAACCACCAGTTGGTAGTGATTTGGAGCTACGTCATCTCTCCTGGTTCTCACTTCTTCCACTAACCTTGTGAATTTTTTACGGATGCAAATATGATCAATGTGATTCCCTGTAGTGTGGTCTGGTGAGACATATGTAGATTTGTGTACTTGTTTGTTAATGACAAAATTTTTCAGTTTTCTCACCATTCTGATTCCTTTCTTCCATTTAGTCCATGCCGTTTCGCGATATCTTATGACGCGGTGTCGTCCATCCCGACTTTGGAGTTTAAGTCTCTCATCAGGAACATCATGTCATTTTCTGAGCACTTCACTATGGTTGATTGCAGCCTGTTGTAAAACTGACTTTTATAATCTTCATTGTTGTCATTAGTGAGTGCACAACACTGGATAACATTCATCATGATTACTACCTTCTCTGTTTTGAAGGATGCTCTGATGATTCGGAATCCATGAGACTCCCATCTTATTATTGCTTTACGTGCTTCTTTGAACGTCATCAGAGCAACCCTCCAAGTGTTTTGAGCATCTGCTTCATGACCAGAATACAATAACATCTCTCCCGAATCCAACCTCTGCAGTCTCCGTTAGATTCAAATGGTTTCACTTGTTCCGAGAACCGTCAAGTTATGTGTCCTCATTTTGCAGCTACTTGAATGATCCACTCAGTTTCCCATATTGTCCGGACAGTTTGTGTACCTAAATTAATCGTCGTTCTGGTTGTTAGAAAAGGAATCGACTTCGTAACTTGCGAGGCGTCCCGGCCTTCACTTTGTGGAGTGAATATCCTCCAACTCGGAGAGCAGAGTTTAAATTGGTTATTCTGATTAGCGTTTTTTAGCAAGAGTGTTTCCTGCAGGACGAGGCTACTGATCACATGCCTAACCCTCTTTCTTTATCTAGCAGTACTGCTAGAAGGGCTACAAGCAGCGTCATATATAATTATCAGTAGCATGTATTATAAATCGGGACATTAATTGTGAAATACTCGAAAGCCTTTTAATCAGTGACACTCGGGATTGATTTTTAATCAGTATTTATGAGAGCATTTATGTCTTGAGTAGGATGGCTCAACATAATTTTTTCTGTAACATTATAGCGACTCATGTGCAATTGAGTTTGTTTACATTAAACTTGCCTAAGCCACTTTGTTAAGTTATTTAACCAACAGAGTCATTCGTACAATAACAAGTTGTCTCATTTCATTGCACCTTCATTGTTGTTTCGCTTGTAAGAATACGTACGCTTTAGGTTTGCTTACTGCCGACGCACATATTCATTTTGGTAGCTTTACTATTAGTGGCTTAATTGATTCCATGATTCACTCATTTTCCCATGTATATATATATATTCTTGTTAATTGACTCGCTCGCACACTCGTTCGCTTGACTCGTTCATTCGACTCACACGCTCACTCGCTTGCCTACTAGCCTTTGTGCACTACTCATTTATGCCTGCTTAGCGTACCTGTAATTTTGGTTATATGTGCGTGGTGCAATGATAAACTTGATCAATAATTCGTATTCACCGTTGAGGCGTTATCTAGTGACGGATATCAAGACGACCTGTACACGAAGTCTAGAGTTATAGTGAATACCGACCATCGCAACACCTTTTTCGTGTATTTATATCGTATCTAGAAATGAAATTTGGAACACTATTTCATCCTCTTTCTGAATCATCAAAGGTTTTACTTTTAG